ATTTATTTACTTAGTTAACTGCTTATTTATTTATTTACTTAGTTAACTGCTTATTTATTTATTTTCTTAGTTAACTGCTTATTTATTTATTTACTTATTTGTCTGCTTATTTAATTAATCACTTACTTGACTGCTCATTTATTTATTTAATCCGTTAACTGATTGTTTATTTATTTACTCCGTTAACTGCTTATTTATTTATTTACTCCGTTAACTGCTTATTTATTTATTTACTTAGTTCACTGCTTATTTATTTATTTACTTAGTTAACTGCTTTTTTATTTATTTACCTAGTCACCTGCTTATCTATTTATTTACTCAGTTATCTGCTTATTTATTTATTTACCTAGTAAACTGCTTGTTTATTTATTTACTTAGATAAATGCTCATTTATTTATTTACTTAGTTAACTGCTCATTGATTTATTTACTTCGTTAACTGCTCATTTATTTATTTGCTTAGTTATCTGCTCATATATTTATTTACTTTTTTAGCTGCTTATTTATTTATTTACTTAGTTAACTGCTTATTTATTTATTTACTTAGTTAACTGCTTATTTATTTACTTACTTATTTAATTGCTTATTTATTTACTTACTTATTTAACTGCTTATTTATTTATATACTTATTTAACTGCTTATTTATTTATTTACTTAGTTAACTGCTTCTTTATTTATTTTCTTAGTTATCTGCTTATTTATTTATTTACTTAGTTAACTGCTCATTTTTTTATTTACTTAGTTAACTGCTCATTTTTTTATTTACTTAGATAACTGCTTATTTATTTATTTACTTAGATAACTGCTTATTTATTTATGTACTTATTTAACTGCTTATTTATTTATTTACTTATTTAACTGCTTATTTACTTAGTTAACTGCTTATTTATTTAATTACTTATTTAACTGCTTATTTATTTATTTACTTATTTTACTGCTTATTTATTTATTCACTTATTTAACTGCTTATTTATTTATTCACTTATTTAACTGCTTATTTATTTATTTACTTAGTTAATTATTTAATTGCTTATTTGTTGATTTATTTATTGATTTATTTTTTATTTATCTGCTTATTTATCTCTCTATTTAGTTATTTATCTACTTATTTATCTATCTACTTATTTTTGTATCTATTTATTTTTCTATTTATGTATTTTACTATTTATTTATTTAACTATTTATTTATTTAGTTATTGATTTTTTTATCTATCTGTTTATTTATTTATCTCTCTCTTTATGTATTTGTCTATCTGTCTATTTATTTATCTGTCCCTTAATTATTTATTTATTTGTTTGTTTATTTATTTATTCATTTATTTATTTATTTATTTATTCATTCATTTATTTATCTATTTATTTATTGATTGAGAAGTTCACGGTAATAATACAAAATAATCGAAAATGGAAATGCAGTTTATATCATATAGTGTGGAGGACGCATTTCTTTGCGACTTTTAGATTTGATTAGGGATTGAGAATCAGTAAAAAGTGATGAAGGTCGAGTTGAAGACCGTCGATAGCTAATTTTGTTAGTTATGTTAAACTTAGATGTAGGATCGAATTGCTCAATTGTTTCTTATAAATCTTGGATTTGAAGAAAGAAAACTCCTTAAGATATTTAAAAATAGCACTTGTATAATTTCGGGAGTACTATTGATATGTATAATCGCGATATTTATATATCAAGGAAACGGCGAAATTTTTTTCTTTTTTTATCCCTTGTGTGATCGTCGTAGAAATTCGAAATAAAATTACGTTATTTTACATGAATCATATTACTCGTGTAAGAATACATTCGTATTATTTGTAATTATCAATCGTTATAAAAATCCATTTCGATATTAAACAAAAGAAGAAAGAAATTCGACTTCTACCTTCAGAGCGACTATACGACTGAATTACTATTTCATACACTCGCCACTCGTGTGTTTCTTCAATTACGTCTCTTCTTCGGGGGCAAACAAATTTTGTTCGTTTCACAAAATGACGACGACAATCACCTCACTGGAAAGTCATTACTTACAATCGCGCGATTAGTACAATCATCCGTGTGGTCAGTTCCACCAACAGTGTTATAATGTTTCATGAACAGTTTCATAACGGTCGTACAAGGTACTACGATCTCGAGTCAATTATTCGTCCAATCAACGAGCACCGATTTAGATTTCACCTAGGCCAGGTGTGCAGGTTACAGTCACGTAATCGATCTTAGACTTCCTTGATCGTTCGATCGCGCCGGAAGAGACAGAATCTAGAGGGCGTAAAACCGATCGAGAGCAACGAGTCTTTTGTGGAACGTTGGAAAACTTGACGGCCTCTCGTTCGATTCGAAGTGTGGTGAAATGAACATAGTTAGCCGATCGTGTCCGAGGAACACCTACGAATAATAAAAACGAAACGACTATCGATATAAGCGACGAGAGACGCCTGGTTGCGACATATTCGAAATTCGAGTTGGCCAATCGATTTCGAAACCGGCGAAATATCGCTGCTAGCGAATTCGCTGCACGCGTCACGTACGTACATGTCAAGATGAAGCCACGAGGAGAGCCACCGAAATGCCGAAATTCGATCGTCGTTGAACAGTCACTGTCCCCCAGTTTCATCGCTGGATCGTCGTTGAACAGTCACTGTCTTCCAGTTTCATCGCTGGATCGTCGTTGAACAGTCACTGTCCCCCAGTTTCATCGCTGGATCGTTGTTGAACAGTCACTGTCTTCCAGTTTCATCGCTGGATCGTCGTTGAACAGTCACTGTCCCCCAGTTTCATCGTTGGATCGTCGTTGAACAGTAGATCACTAGCGCGATCGATCGAACGAAACTGTTCCGTTGTGTTTGCCATGGTGTCCAGGAAAGTATACCGGAAAGTGCGAGAAGTGAAAGCGCGTGGAAGGTGTTCCTGAAATTTTCCAACCGAAAGCTTCGACCAAGCAATAAATATCGTTCTGTCCTCTCGCGTAATCGCGACGAGGTTCACGCGTCACTTTCGACATCCGAAATCGTGGGATTTTCCGCGTTCCTCGCCGCTGAACAGAGAATCCTCGAGGGTTGGCTAATCAGCAGTACCATTTAAATCGTATCCGATCGCACGGCGAATACGAATCGCTTGGTTATCCGTGTTTTTCCTATTTTCCTATTTTCCTGGCGGCCACTCGCGGCACGCTTGCTTACGTGATGGGAATCACGCGATCGAGAGTGGTTGCCCGGTGTTTAATGGGCCGAGTTATATAGCCAACTTGCACCGGCAATCGCGGTCCTGTAGTTTTCTCGATTCTTTTCCTTCCTCGCGAGTGAATCTCGTGGCTTCGAGTGAAACGCCTGTGTCGAATAATCTCGCTTCGTGTGTGTCGTTCGTCCGTTCGCGAATAAAGTATCGGGATATTTATATTGTGAAGTCGCGCGACGCCTGTCTTTTAAATGCGTAGTAGTGGACAGAAAGATCATCGATATTTCGAACTGTTTGAACTTGGTGAAAACGATTTTAAAGCACGAACTCTCCAGTTTACTTGAGTTCCTCTTTTTTCTTCCAAAGATGTTTTTACATTACGAATGTAAAAGCAGATGAAAAGCAAATTTCTAGCAAATTGTCTACAAAAACCTATAAAAATTCAAATCGTAAATGCAAATTCAATGAAAATTTTTTTTATGACTGGATCTTGAAGATTCAAGTCTTCCCTTTCGACAGTTTTTTCGAACGTTGAATGTTCGAGTTATACGACAAAAATTTAAGAGATCTTAACAATTCCTTTCATTCTCCAACTCTGAATTTCCAAGTTCAATAATTCTGAATAAAAATCGTACGGCAAGTTTTTGAAAGGGGGACTTCAATCATCAAAATTACGATATTGGATTTAGGTCACGAAAAGAATTTTTTAATTTACGAATATTACCAAAATTTACAAATAGAAAGTTGGCACTTTTACAATTCTTTCGGAGATAAATACCCCCATTTTTCCATTTGCTATGTTTAACGTTAAAATATTATTTGAAAAAACAAACTCAGTACTGTCAAAGTGGAGTTTCTTTACGTTTTAAAACGAGATCAAGTAGATTATCAATAATAATGACCTTTTGTTATGATAACTTGAATTATCGACAATTTTTCATTTTCGTTTTCAGTTATGTCCTTCGCTGTTTATTTAAACTTGAACAAATCGTCTATTCAATTCTGAAACTAACTCCACTATATTCACTGATCACTGAATTTCGTATGGACGAAAACAATTTTCACAAAACAATTCTATCATTGTGAATTTGAAAGTATCAAGTCTAGATTCGTCTTATGAATTTTATAAACAGCATTTGATTACAGATGCAGTCGATCAATATACTGATAACCGGGTTATCGCTTCTGTGCTTCGTGCGCCCTCTTCACAGCGATCCACAAGGATATTCGACGAATTATGAATCGTACAATCCTCGCAGTCCTCGTGCATCAGACCCGGTGCATCGTGTCGCAGAACCGCACGAATGGCACGATCGTTTTAGCATTTCGAAATCTTTACCTCAGCACGTGGCACAGCACGAGGAAACATTGACGACTACTCGCGAAGAAAATCAATTTCGAGAACCTTCGCTTCTGTTGAGCTACCCCGAGATAGCGTCAGAGGGGATGTATCTACAACCGAAAGAATACGATCGGTACGGTAATTTGGAATCGAGATATCGTGAAGAGAGCTCGAGGCGAGACGGAATGAATTCTGAAGATGAGAAGAGAGAGGACGAAGAGGAACTTGTGAGAAAGATGAGAATTCTGGATCAGCTGTTGTCCGAGGATTCGAGCGGAAAAGATTTCGATGCTGACGTAATTGGAGACATAATCATCCCGGAGGAATCGAAGAGGGTTGTAAGGGAGGTGAAGAAGAAGAAGCCAGGATTGTTTTGGTCTTTGGCGAAAGTCACGTTCCAGGTGAGGGATTTTTTTATGTAAAATAACTGAACTGTGAATATTTAGTTTTCCAGACATGGCCGACTTTTCCTTCGTTTTTTTTTTTTTTTTTTTACGTAGATCTTCCAAAGACATTGTGCCATTTTCAAGGATAACGCCGGACTTTTGTTAGTTAAAACCAGAGATTATTTTCGTTTTCCAAAGACTGTGCCATTTTCAAGGGTAGCGCCGAACTTTTGTTGGTTAAAACCAGAGATTATTTTCGTTTTTCAAAAAATTTCGAACTTGTATATTTTGTATAAGGAAATACCTGTTGCTGAATTTTTATAGAAAAAAGTCTCAATTCTCATTAGTGGGACAGAATCTCTTTAATAAAAGTTTCATGGTAACAGCTCTTTAGAATATTTATTTTTATACGTCGAATGCTATTCATTGAATAGTATTTTTATGCTCGAGAATTTTTTTAATATCGAACAAATTGTCTGCTCCTCCGACAGGAAATTTTTTACTTTTATATTTCATAAGTTCTATTCTGTCTGGAATTTTTATTTTTAAAGATATTTATGTAATATAAGAGCATTTTTCGTTCTACGTTTCAAACAGAACCTACTTAAAGTTTCGCAACTTTTTCGATCCTCGATTTATTTCGATTACTCGTTATTTAAGTAAGGCTAATCTCTTTCGCTACTTTTTTTACGTGTCAGAAGTGAGAAATAATATTTTTCAGCCATGACCTCAAAGATCTCCACGAAAGATAAGATTTATATCATTTGTATCATGCGTATTGTTATTTTTTGGTTGGAAATTTACGACACAAACTATAAACTTCTTAATTTCTGCGTTTCTCAAGAGAGAGAAACAGGACTGGAAGGTTAAATCTCTAAAAGAAGTCAAATCGATCGAACCTGAAACCGTATGGATTGACTCGAGATTATTTTCAGGCGATCAACGACACAGCATCGGCGATCAAGCAGATCACTGCCATCATCAACAACAGCATCGTTCCGGATTCGGCCACAGCCAGCTCGATCACGAAGGAATCGTTAACGGCCGCAAATTCGACCAACGTCCCATCGAACGGAACAGAAACAACGACGTCAACGCCCACGACGACGCCCGCCGTTCTCACAAGGAAGACGCTAGAGAAACTGATCAGGCGAAATATACTAGGGCTCGTCAGAGTCTTCAACATCGAATGGAAGGAAGCGTTAAACGTAAGACGAACCAACACCTCAAGTTCTCATTTTCGATTGTTCCACGTGTGTTGTCTATTCATTCAGCTCGTAATATTACGATTACATTTTCCAGCAATCGGAAACGAACGTGAAAGAGTTCCAGAGGGATCTAGGGAACCAAATAGGGAGTTTCTTTCGCGACAAAAGGGACGCTTGACGCCTTGGGACCACTTTCGTTCATCTTGTTACGACTTTTACTTCCTTTAAGTAATAAAGTTTGGTCATCTTCCCGGTAAGATCGGCAATGCCGAGGCATTGGCCGCGCACCAGTCCGAAGACCTCACTAAATCATTCAATCGGTAGTAGCGACGGGCGGTGTACAAAGGGCAGGGACGTAATCAACGCGAACTTATGACTCGCGCTTAATGGGAATTCCTCGTTCATGGGGAATAATTGCAAGCCCCAATCCCTAGCACGAAGGAGGTTCAGCGGGTTATCCGGGTCTTTCGGCCAGAGAAAACACGCTGATTCCTTCAGTGTAGCGCGCGTGCGGCTCAAAGCATCTAAGGACTGTTATTGCTCAATCTCGTGCGGCTAGAAGCCACCTGTTCCTCTAAGAAGATTTGTCTGTACGTTGGTAGTAAAAACCCACCGACCGAAGCCGGGGGCCTTCGAGATACCATAAGTAAGCAGGCTAGAGTCTCGTTCGTTACCGGAATTAACCAGACAAATCGCTCCACCAACTAAGAACGGCCATGCACCACCACCCACCGAATCAAGAAAGAGCTATCAATCTGTCAATCCTTCCGGTGTCCGGGCCTGGTGAGGTTTCCCGTGTTGTAAAACACAGTGGCGACAGTGTACGTTCTTCTAGCCAAAGATCGAGCACAAGTTTTCAGCGTGTGCGGATCGTCTCTCCTTTTGTAGAATTGAAAGCGAGAGCCGAGGGCCATTTTCAAACGAATCCGGCCGGTGAAAGAATCAAGGACAAACGCTGACTGTTTCAAAACGCACGAAAGATCGCGGGCGTTCATGCTGCTGGCTCGTTGTTACGTCACCTTCAAAGATCATCGTCCGATACTTATGTAACGCGCGATTTATGCCCCGCGTACAACCCACGCGCTCGTTCGCTCGTGTTGACGATCAGTGAAAGAAGACCGTAAAGATCAGACGCGAGTTCGAGAAGCAGTAAGTAGAAAGCACTGTCTGGTCGAATTCGATTGGTCGTGGACATGCGACGTGGGATCAGCTCGATTCGCCCTTATATGTGGATATCAACCGGTCAGCAGTCAGGAACTACACGATCAGTGCTCGTCCATGGATCGACGAGAAGATAGAATCTGCTTGCACACCGGAGTAGCATTCTTCGAAAGCGTTTCGATTTGAAAACGTTCGCGATTGATCGATTTCATCGAGGACAGGAACATTTGTGTCGCGTGCCGTTGTTAATTGAAATTAATCTACAGTGGTAGTCTTTGAAAGTTATTTACACTAAAACTAGCGACGAAAAAGTATGATATTTGTAGAAAAGAAATTCAAGGGCAAGGTACGAAGAAAAAGTTAATTCGATATAAAGGACACAAGCTTCTATTGATATATTTTACTAAAAGAGTATAAAATACACTGCTGTAAATATGTGAAATTTCCATTAGTTAATTATAGGAAATTATAAATTAGTCATTTTGACCACTTTGGTAGTTCTAGTGTTAAATGTAGATGCTTCGTTTTATATTCTGGGAACGATATATTTTAACGAATATTTTTCTGTCTGATAACTATCGAAACGAATTAATTTGTGTTTCAGATAGTTGGTCGATTGAACTAAAATTAAATTATCCTTCATTGTCTTGGTTATAGAATTCTCTGACAATAAGGGATGACCTGATTAATCAATATTCTGTCCTCTCCTACTTGTCGTACTCCGATGTTTAATATTAATCGAGAAATAATTTTAAATTGTTTGTTTCGAGGAGAAACGTTTGCACACAATTGCAAGAAGGTCTACTTTCCTCAGAATCACCGATAATCACTCTCTAATTATACTTTAACTTCAAAGGAGCATAATAACGCATCAGTGGTCGTTAATGTGTTTAATTGTAATTCTTGTTTGACTAACGAATTTTAAACTGTTTAATTTATTAATTTGTGTTTTAAACGGTCGATCGATCGAACTAAAATTAAATTGTCAATTATAGAACGTTTTAATATAAGAGACGACTCGATTAATCAACTCCACTCGTCTCGCTCGGTTACTCAATGTCAATAATTAATAATTTAGATAAAAATATTCGCGCGGTGGAAAAACTTTTGCACGCAACAGGCCTACTTTCTTCAAAATCGATCTGTCCAACTGTACCTTAACTCTAAAGGAGCGTGTTAAAGTGTTTAATTGTGATTCTCAGAGTTTTGACCACCTTCCGTGAGTATTCTTAAGCGTTGTATCCGATCATGTTTATACACAAGCTCGCCACTTACTTTCATGCGATTAATTTCTCTCGTAACGCCGACAGCCCCGGTGAAAGAAGACAAAGAGGAGGGGCGTGCAACTCTGCGTACGAAGATTACGTGAAAATAGAAAGGATCACCGGTCAAAAGGTATTGGATCCGCGGATATTGGATCGTGATTGGTCGACGCTTCGCGTGGGATCTTGCAATCGTCCTTATAGATCGGAGGATCGTCGATCTGCCCTGCAGTTTGTCGGTTCACTTTCGAAGATCATTCCTGGACAGTCGAGGTGTCAAAGTGTTGGAAGAATGCTCGGGACAATCTACGTCGTCGTCAGCGCTATATTTTACGTGGTGGCTTCTCAGAATGCGGTAAGTAAAAAAGCTGTAAAAAAGCATTTCTATCACGTGTTATTTCAACAAGCTGTAACTTGATGACGGACTGCAAACTTTGTTCTTTGTTAAATATTTGTAGAAACTTACTTAAATATTTTTAGATTAATTCGTTCTCCGCGTACTTTGATTCTTCGAGGAATTTCGCAAAGTTCATCTCATTCATCTTGCTATCTATCGTTACAATGTTAATGCTCGTCTTATTCAATTCTTTTTCTTCTTTTCTTCTTCCTTCTCATATAATTTTCTTGCCTTCACCTTCACCCATACTTGTCACTTTTTCTATTTTCATATTTTCTGTGCAAAAAGAAGGATCAAATGTTTGGGTAATTTCAATAAATTTAGATATTTGGATATTAAATTGAGAGTAAAATTCTCTCGTTGAATCTTCGTATTTGCATCCTTCGAATCGCATTGACGTTCGTTCATTCATCTTTGAATTTTCACTCGTAAACGAAATTTAAACTCAATCCTAATGAATTTTTAACTTAAAAAGAAGGATCAAATTTTTGGATAATTTTAATAAATTTAGATATTTGGATAAATAAAACATAAAAACTCAATTCTTAAATTTAGAGCCAGACAAAATTGCCTGAAGTTCAAAACTGTGGAGTATTTCGATGTAAAAGAAAGAACACCATTCGTGAAATTTTAGAGTTTCGATTTATCCGATAGAAAAGCGATTAGAAATGCAATACATTCGAAAAAGCCACGTTGACACTTTGATCGTCCACTGTCGATCGTTTGACGATCTATATGTAGAAAAGAGAAAGCTGCCGAGAGGCATAGTCATAACAACCGTTTCAAAGTGCCAATGAGTCTACCCGCATTTTACTTCACACTTTACGATCGTGTTTCTTCTTGCATGGAACAGTTTTATCGTGCCTTGCATTTACAGTGCGTCCAAGTAACAGAACATACTGTGACAATGAGTGTAATAAAAAGATCGTGCTTCTTGAATTATAAATGCTGGCACTTCCTATATCAAGGTGGACTAAACGACATTTATTATTGATCAGTTGTCAGTTAATACGTATCTTTCGTTTAAATAAAAATACGTGTAAAGTCTTTTATGGAATGAAATAAGAGAAGTATTGGCACTAATTTTCTCGCGATATTTTTGTGAAAACAAATAGGTCGCCACGTATAAATGTAGTATATATAAAGTATAAAGACAGCAACGATACGAGTGATGTGAAAATTTGAAAATCGAAAAGATTTTGACACGTGAGACTTTCCTTTTGCAGCTCTATTGTGTATTTGAAAATATATAATATTTCAATGGTTTAAAATGGTTAAAATTTTCGAGCTTTTTCAATATAGGTGCGACCTCGTTCGACAACATTCTAATATTTATAAAAAGATATTCTGCAATCTTTCTAATAGCATTCCGCTATTAAATTCAGATTGAACAATATTTTTTCGACTCGCGAATTTTTGCACTTCCTTCATTTCATTATTGTTGTACAATTCATTATCGAAAATTTCGCTTTCGTACGTAGTTTTCGAACTACGTTAATTTGTGAAAAAAAGAAATTTTGCGAATATCTATTTTATTTTCACAAAGAGATCAACTTGTACATTTAAAATTTTCGTTTCAGATGATCCTTGAACGAACAAAACGTCAGGACAATGCGAGCGGGGATGGCCACGTGATAGACAGCATCTTTAACGTATGTATTTAATTTCTGTTCAGTTTCTCGATGATCGAGCAAAAGCTAACTCGAATAATCCGACTAGATTCCAATCACGGCGCTCAAGCAAACTGCAGCTGCGGCGCAGTCTTTCAATCCAGGAAACTCTGAGGCTATTGACAGCGTCTTAAAGGTAACGAAATTTTTATTTACGTAACTCTTGTGTAACAAGCGCGTGGATACGATTTCCCTGGAACGTTCGACGTGAAATTAATAATAATAATAATTTTCCAATATTAATTGAGATCTATATTAAGAGTGGCCAATCATAATCGTGGCGCATTTCATAATTTCATCAAGTTTTGACACAATAAATAAACGGAATAACGTAAGATATAAAAGTATTGAAATTGCGTGTAACTTATTAACAGTTTTATACTCATCAAGCAAAAGAAGAGTATAATACAACTTTGTTTATATGAACTCCATTTTAAACTCTTATAACACCTAAACTCTTATTATACAAAAGAAGAAGATCGTACAGCAAGTTTTAAACGACCGTAAAGCGGAGATTTCAGTCTTCAAGTCTATTGTGGATTCACTCGCGTGAAGAAAATTCAGTTCAATGATTTTGACGTACTGTGACAATTTCAGAGAAGAAAAGTCTTCACTCTGCCATCTGCTATATAATATATAAACATTTTAGAACAAAATGAATCTTAAATGCATCCTTAAAAGTTTCAAGCTTTAAAATAAGTCCAAATTTATTCTCTACAATTTCTTTTTCACAAGATTATAATATTACTTTCGATATTTAGTGTTTCAAGCTTATTAAGTCCAAGTTTATTATTCTACAATTTCTTTTAAATTATAATAACTAAAGTCTGAAATTATAATAACAGATATTTATAATAATAATTACAATAACAGATATTTAGTGTCCGAAGATTAATGGACGAACTGTGTATGAACTTCAACGTGTATGTACAGACTAATGTCTCCCGACGTGATTACCAACTAATTTTTTATCACGTTTTTCACCTCGTAGATCCCTGTTTCGACATTGGAGGCTGTTGGAAATCTAGTAAAAGCAACGACCGGTCAAAGACGCCAGAATGCCGAAGGATTGCAACGGATACGCCAAGAGAGGAGAGACCGAGTGTTGGCTCAGAGGGAACGACAGAGGTTTCAGAGAGAGCAGCATCAGCAACAACGTTTCAAACAGCAAATGATAAAGAGAAATATCAAGAACAACAACAAAGATCCATTTGGTTTAAACGCTCTGTCCCTGCTGGTTAGTAATCATGGCGTTTTAGGTAGTATTCAAGGTGCGTTTGGTGGTTACAGTGGAGGTGGTGGTGGACATGGTAGTCATGGTAGTCATGGTAGTCACGGTGGTCACGGTGGTCATGGAAGTCAAGGTATACCACTTGCTGATTTTGAATGTGAATCTGTACTGTTTGACTGACAATGAAAGAGTGAAAGAAACTGATGAAAAAGTAGAGAACAACGATAGAATCTTTTCATAAAATTTCATAAAATTGGGACCATTTTTGGTCGTTCTTGGTTCTGTTAGTATTCAAATATTAAGATATTTTATATTATATGTACGAAGCCCCATAATTCCATTTTTCCAAAACTTCTGGGGTTATATTAGATTATTACATTTTTATATCATTTATTGAGCCAAAACTTTTACGGAAATATATTTATATTTCATTGTAAAAAAAAGTTAAAATCAAATGAAGATAGTAATAGACTTTCGGAAAGTCAGAAAAAGATAAGGGACCAGAATGGATCATACATAATTCATTAACATGATGCGAAACGAAAGAATTTTTTGAGATTCTTTGAGAAATTGATAGCGATAGAAAACGTCTTGCAGAAAATTTTATAAAAAAGTTCTATCATTTTTCATTATACCTTTATTATTTGGAAAGGACCATTAGTTTTATACAGTGCACCATCTTCTTGTTAGCTATCTATTTATTCACGTGAGTCGTAGTGAGCACCCGATTTGCGCACAGTCAAACAGTACAGCGACAAAAAGAACGACAAGTTATCCGTGGAAAAATATTTCACAGGCATCCACGGAGGACACGGAAGCACAGGCGGCTACGAAGTTCACGAAACCATAGAGGAGGACACAAATTATTCCTGGCACGGGATCACCGCTGGGTTTGGTACGTTCTCAGGTAGTCGACCAACCAGCGCGCACATCTCCGTGCAAAATAAAATCGCTCCAAAGGATGAAAGGCCGATCAAGTATTACGACGATCCTCCCATACAGAACAAAATTGCTCCGAGCACAGGAAATGAATTGGACTACAAAGACGATCCTCCGCTAGAGAACAAGATCGCACCGAAAAGCAATAGAATATTGTTTCGGTCTTAAGGGAAATTGAAAATGGAACGAAATTTAATTTCTTTTTTTTTTTTTCTTTCTGAAAACTTACTTCCTTTATGTAATGCCTAGTCCACATGGTATTTAATTAGGTAAGGAAGGTTGCGTGATAACTACGTGAGTCACATCACGCCGCTTATGCAGATAAATAATGGCGAAATTGCTTGGCGAAAGCAAAGTCGACGAAGCAATTACAAATTTCGTTCGTTTCAACGATAAGTGACTCATCGGATCTTCACCGATGTGCCACGTTTGATCCACGTTTGACCTACGTTTGACCTTGAAGTCACGCTTGTACCACGAAACGTTCCGACGTTAAAATTCTCCGGCGAATGTCGCGATACGGGAAACATTTCGATTGTAATGCCTCTCATGAATAACGAAAAGACACGAAGAATAAAAACCAGCAACCAGCGCACACACGTGATATATTCAATTTTTAAATTCAGTTTTATCGTCGTATGTACAATGGGTGAAAAGGATATTATATTTTTTGCAGTGTCTTTGTGAAAAGAAATGATATATTAACAGAATCTTCAATAAACAAATTTATTGAAATATTCAAAATTCATTACAAATTCAAATTCATTACTCAATGTATTATTCATTATATTTAATGTAGTTCGTAATATTTAAAATTCATAATATTCGAAATATTCGATAAACTATTCATTACATGCGAAAGTAACGTGCACGCAATAATTTCCAATAATAATGCAGGCAATATAAAAATTCGAGATTCAAAAAGGTTTTCTGACGGAATGTAAAATATTTTTAATGGTTCAGAGCGTTCTTTTCTAAAAGGACATTTCAGAATTTTTTTTCACAACATACAGCAATTAAGTGTCAATATTTTCTTAACTCTTGAATTTTTATATTTTACTCTTGTGCGCAATGAACTAATATTTGTAGAAACCGTTTTTGCCAATATATCATTCGTTCTCATAAAGATAAAAAAATTGATTAAAAAAAAAACCAAGTGTATCAATACTTTTTTTGGGCTCACTGAATAATTTATATTCTATTGCGTGGATCCTCGATTTGAGATAAATATTAATATATACGAACGAAAATGATTCACAGAATCGGACGATAGTCAGACTTAATGAACAATCGCGTGACAGATAATTCAGTTTTTTACTTGTTGGTCAATTACGAGCATAGTAAATTCCACGAAAAGGAAGTAATTACTCCAGATATATCATTAAAGTATTCCACAATTATCGTAGCGTCTTAGAATCGCGTACGAGTTTAGTGATTGCAAGGTTGAATGATTCATACATCTGTCTACAAAGGAGACATAATAACGTCAGAAATGGATGAAGTTTTCCTTTCTATACCACTCTAAAGATTTTTAAGCATTTCGTGCGACACTGTAAAGAAAATAACACGAACGCGTGCGTGGATCGGTTTGTTGATACTGTTAGTTGGCGATAATGATGTATGTGAGAAAAACTATAGATTCGAATTAACAAAGTTCATCGTATTGAATGAAAACGTTAACGGGTTTTTTCAAAGTCATCTACACTATTCAAGCGAATAAAGAAAATTTCAAAGCAGAGGATTTTTTCACTTACGTAATTTAATTTTTTCAGTAGTTCATTCGAAGAAATATGTTCACGTTGCGTTCAACTTTGATCCGGGCAATCAGCGTCCGACTTTTTTTTTCTCATCGTGCAATTAAGATTAAAGTATTGGCGTCAATCCATCGATTGCGACGTTTGCTGAATTTATTATGTCACCTCATGCAAACTTCGTGCAGTTCTGCGTATTTACTTTTTTTCTCACAAAAAAGTGTCCAACAGCGTAGTCATATAACATCGGAAAAGTAATTATTAAGGAATAATAATCGATATCTCTTTAACACTAGAGCTACTGACGACTAAAGTATAAAAAGTCTATCAGGAAAATATTAGAGTGCAAGAAATGGGGGAAAAGCTTATATTATAATAAAAAAATATAAACCTTAGAACATATTTTAGAAAAATCGTTCAATTCTCTAAAACAGCGATATTGTAATCCGCAAAACTGCTTTAAGAAATTATAGACATTTGATAGTTTTAGTGTTAGTGAGAAATTATATGAAAGAATCTTCCGAAGATGTATCAATATTCCATCGATTCTATCAAAGAAATTAAAGTAAGAAATGGAGTGAAGAAAAAGTTTGTACCATAATAAAAAAGATATAAACTTCCCTTTATATCTCTTACTCTCATCACATATCAAATCTCTAAAAATGCGACATTGTACATTCGCAGAACTGTTCTGATTATACAATTATTAACCGACTTCTGACAACTTTGGTAGTTCTAGCATTAATGAGAAAACAAACCTATCAAAAGAAACCTTCCAAAGACGTATCGATAGTTATCTTTCATCCTAAAAAAAATAAAAAAAAAAAAAAAAACTTTCGTTTGTAATGCTAAACAACGTACGAATGCGATCACATGGAGAAATGTGCTTGTTGATGGAACAGCTGCGAGCTTGAAGGAACACGGTGAATGGCATCGAGCGAGAAGAAGGAAATGGAAATGCCTGGTCTATTGTATTCAGATCGTCCTTGACCCCGGCAATCGCAGTTCATTCAGTCAGACAATCGCCGTGTAGATAGAACGATCAACTGGCATTCACGGTGCGTTGAGCGAGCGGCACGGCAACTTCTTAAGTTTACGTCAGGCCTTATTTATCCCTTCCCGGCTCCAGGAGGTGAGTCCGATGATGTCTTGGAGGTCTTTTTAGAAATCGATGGTAAATACGTTGGCCAGTCAGTTGTGCGAGTCAGTCGACGGAAAGATGCTGTGTCGCAAGGCTGTTTCGTTGTTCGTTGTTAGTTTGCTCGCAGTGGTCAACGGGATGCCTGGAAACATAGACAACAGCAGTGACAATCCGTCGTCGGTGAGTCAATTTCCACGTTTGATCTAAAATCGACCTCTCTGATAAATTTTCGTTCGCGCTTGTGCTAAACTTTCGACTGAAGATGTGTACGCGTGATGCTTTGTAACAGCAATGTTTTTTTTTTTTTTTTCCTTAACGCGGAATTTTGGCTAGATCAATTTATTATTATCACGCTGACAACGAACGACTAAGGTGCGTTTGTAAATCAGAAATTGAAAACTGAAAGAAACCGTCGCGATATAATTAAAAATAGCAATGGACAGCGGGGGGGAGGATAAAATTATTTGGTTATTCAATCAGCGTGCGTCGTTATTGCGTGACAATCGATCGTTCGACAGCAATTGCGATCTTCGTATGCGCGACGTGTCTTTGTTTTGCAAATTCTATAAACTCTGTAATGAGCGACGGTGAATAAAAGGTACGAAGGAATTTAGTGGACAGAGGAAAGAACGAATTATCGATGGCGGAATAGCCAGGTTAGGTAACCGGCAAACGCAAGAGAGAACGAACAAGGAAAGGATTCGCAGAAGTTTCAAGATAGGAGTTGAAAGTTCGTGACGATGACTGTACTATCGTTCGAAGTGATCTACATAAATTGCAAAAAAATTCTCACCGGCGAAGAGAGACTAGGCTAAAGTTCGTTCGTCGAACGATTTGCAATTTGCATTAATTTGCATTAGCTCAATAATTGCGAGAATAAATTCGTAAAACGCAACAACACAGATTTTAGGAAATTAGTAAATTTGATTGTTTTTAACAGGCTACCGTTGTCGATTGCTTTGTGTAATAAATATTATTTATTGTTTATTGCGTTGGCATGTTGAAATACTATTGTGACCGTACGTGGCAGTTAATATATTAATTACCAATCATTTGATACATTGCATTCTGCAATAGATTCTTATATTATAGGTAGATAACATGTAACATGATACATAAAAGTGTAGTAATTAGTATTGTTATCAATAGTTAAACGATTAAAATACTTCGATACACAACTCCTTTATAATATAAATCATAAAATAATAGGTTGTCGAATATTATAAATTAAAATAGATAGAAAATTTTATTAATAATAAATAATAAATTAACGAGCTAAATTATTAGATATTAAAAAAATTTTATTAATAATAAATAATAAATTAACGAGCTAAATTATTAGATATTAAACTAAAGAGAGTTTAGCAAATATCTATCGAGCGGAATGGTATAAAACAATTGAAAAATTATTCCTCTACTTCTTCGTAGTTACCGTTTATTAATCAAAATAGAAAATGAGTTTCGAAATGGTAGACAAGGTATTTTATTAATATTAACATATTAAATTAATAAACTAAATTATTAGATATTAAACTAAAGAGAGTTTAGCAAACATCTATCGAGCGGAATGGTATAGAACAATTGAAAAATTATTCCCCTATTTCTTCGTAGTTACCGTTCATTCAACTCACCAACGGTGGCATCCGGTTCAATTTTGCGGGCTACCATGCCCAAGCTGGATTAGGTGGTCTTTCAGGATCATCGCCAGGGGGTGGACTTCACGCCAGCTTCGGAACACCTTGGGGTGGCCACGCGTCTGCCGGTTTGGGCGGCTCACTTGACGGCAACAACGCGAACGCTGGCTAGTATAACTCTACATAGTATTTAACATAATTCCGCGTCAGAATTTTAATTAATGCTTGATGAATCTGTTACGTGTGAGATAGACGAGTAACAAAGTTCAGTTCGTAGAAACTAAACAGCAACGACTCTGCTGTTTCTCTTTGCGATTAATCTTGACCATCGTCGGTATGTTTTACTGGCATTGCATTTTAACAAGTTACTGAACGATGAACTTTGTTTCACGAAAACACGAGAGCATCGGTAAGATGCTTGTTACGCGTTGAATCAGAGATTTTTTTTGCCTCTCAGTTGTCTAGAACTTCGGTCTCTGTTTTTTCTGCTTGTAAAAAATTCAACGCGACTTACCGATCGATAGGAGGAGGCCTGTACGCGAGAGCAGGACTTGGAAACGGAAGACACGAGGCCGCGGCGGGATTGGGCGGCGTTCTAGACGGAAGTGGATCGGGACCAATGGTTAGAGGAGGACTCTACGCTGGCGCTACCACCGGAGCCCATGGTGTTGGAGTAACAGCTGGAATTCCAAACGTTGGACCATACAATGGACCAAATAATGGACCAAACAATGGACCAAATAATGGACCAAACAGTGGGCCAAATGATGGGCCGAACGACGGGCCCAACAACAGGCCAAACGATGGAAATCGCAAAGACGATAGAGATGGGGACGACGGAGAAAAACCAAAGCTCGGACGTTCGAATATTCAAGTAATCGCTCGTTCTGGAAATAAAAAAGAGACAGTGCTACAGGTGCGTTGAATTGCCATTCCTCACTGAATCAGTACTGTGTAAATAATTTAAACCTGTAACAAAGATGTAAGGCTCTAAGGATAATTTGAACGTCATCTTTATTTAAACTTACATTTACGAAATAAATGAATACCTAAACGTGCACGATGGTGTGCGAAAGTGTTCGGCCAGATGAATTCTCCACTTCCCGTTTTTCCATTAAATTTTTCCATTCCTGAATTATAAAAGAAAAGAATTCTGTAGCGCGGAGGATGATTTTCCATGAAAAAAAAATAGATCGAAAATGTAAAATAAAATTTTTTTATTCAAGACTTCATTTTCGAGAAGATTTGATTTGATAATTTGGTTAATTCTAGACGTGTCAGAAAAGAACAATTAACAGGAAGTTATTCCGTGTGCAGAAATAGGTCAAAAATCTTTCATTTGAAGCTTCGTTTTCGAGGAAACAGACTTCAGAACACGTTTCGTTAAAAGTTGCCTTCGTACTTGAAAAATCTTCGACCTCAACTTTCTCGAAAACGAAGGCTCGAATAAAAAAAATTTAATTCTACATTTTCGACTTCACAGGAATCTATCTCCTGTGTGTAACAGAGAATTGTAGAAACACGAGAAACGGAATATGTGATTAGCGAATGTATTAAGAAATGGTGCTACCAAGGATGAAATTACGATTAATTTGTAGACATTCGCTGTGCCAGCGGATTCGCCAGAGGCTGTCAAGCAACTTGATTCTTCGCCGAATAAAGAGGTAAGAACACACACACAGTCGAATTAATCACATCAGTTCGAAAGTGATTCGTTGATTTCAAATCGAATATAAATGATCTGTAAATGCGTCAGGTATACGAAGTGCCAGGTGTTGAAGCGCTGCCTGTTGTCGAGCTAGCTCCTGTTTTGTCCAACGACGTAAAAGAAGTCGCACAGATTGGTGAGATGATATATTGATCGGTTAATTGATCGATTTTTTCGCAACGTTGCACTCGTTTGAGATTCACGCAATTTCCAGGCAATCATCGCCGAGTGAGACTCTTGCGCACGCTTAGGAAGAGATTGTGGGGCCCGAGGAAACAGGTTGTTGTTGAACACGCGGCTGCGATAGAGCCGCAGGATGTCGCCGACACGAACATTCAAAAAATTCACAAGCGTCAGACGATTTCTTATTCAGATCCTAAGCCTCCGCGAAGACCTTCAGCAGCTGTAAAAACCAATAGTGGTTTCTTCGATGACGTATTCGAGGTAAAAGAATTCGATCCATTCGGGCAGTTGCTTATTACAGTTGCAGATTAGATGATTACTAATATCACATCGATAAACTGATTCTTAAAAGCCAACACGCGATGCAGATAGTGACATTTAAATAACAAATTTATGTAACAAGTAGCGAGATATTTTACTGCTACGTTATGCGCGACACGGACGATGAAGATATAACTTTGTAAAGGAGACTCACATTATTTTATAAGCATGAAGCTTCTACTTCGACCAGCCTTGAATTTATTTTTCTCAAAGATAATTTTCCATTATGTAACGAGTATATTTTTTTTTCTCAAAAATTGTAAAAATTCAAGCAAAACGCGTGAAAATGTTAAAAACGTTTTTTTTTTTTTTTTTTTTTTTTGACTACTATGGTCTTGAAGACCATACTGTTTTAAGATTGTTTCTCAACCATTTCATTAAACTTTGAACATTAAGTTTCTTTAGATTTTCTTTAAATTGTCGTTTAATTGTAACATTCAAAGTTCAATAAAATGCTGGCGTTCAAAAAATTGTAACCGAAAATTTTTGAAGATTCGTTATAAAGGGAAGACTTTAATCTTCAAGATCGTAGTGAACCTAGTTACAAAAGAAATTTTTTAAATATTTTTATAGACGTTTGAACTTCCGATGAAAACAACATCTTCAGTCTTCTACTAGCAACATGTAAAATCATCGTTGAAAATAACGAATTCAGAGCTGTCAAAATAGCTTCACGCTTCAAAAACTGTCGACAATTTTTCGTCATCGTTGATACAATTACGTTCTTCGCTGTACTGTGATTCCATTACGGGATATCAATTATTCATTCGTCAATTAATGTACACACTTCGGATGAATCACAGTGTTCAGACACTTACAAAAAATAACGCAACGGGTGTCTTCTTGCACTTACTCACTTAGTCGCTTCTTTTTCACAGATACCGAAGTCAACACTGAACGCTGTTAACCGACTGTTGAATAATAATTACGGTTGATCAGTGACACAACGTATAGTCTACTTTTTCTGCATACTTTATCTACGTGCACAACGCAGCGACGATGAAAATAATTACCCATTAAAAAGAGAATGTAACTGCGTTGTGTTTGAATTTCCGATACTTAATAAAATATTATAAGCCTGACACTCTGTTCTGTTTTCTACTACCAGCATTTCAAATTTAGTTAATTATTTCCGTGATATTTGCTAAACGATTTGTCCTTCTCCCTTTTTCCTATTTTTTCTTTCATTTTTGTTTTAAATTGCAAATATGGTGTCATTAATCAAGTTATCTACGTTTCTTGTTTTCGCGTACGTTGTATTCTACGAAATTTTCGTTTCACGTTACGCAAGCCGCAAAAGTCGATATCAGTACATTGAAAATACAGAGAACAATAATTGTAGCATCGGCAACAATTAACAAAAACTGAAGGACGAATTTTAAATGCCCACTTGCAAATGTTTGAATAAATGTACACTTGCTGTATTTGGTATTTATTGTTCTAATGACCAGTTCGAGATAAGCCGATCGGTAACCATATAAATGTGGACGAAACAAACACTTTCCAGTAGTATTTGCATTGCCGCTGCGAATACGTACGAAGGCAGATAGAAAGCTGGCCAATATGAAATTAATCGCGTTTGTACTTTTCTCCTTTCTGATTGGAACACTGGTCGGGGCAATCCCTCGTGGGCCGGTAAGTTTTTGCTTGAATTATTTTGCTACTACTATTTTAAATTATTTTTCAAACGTTCGAGAAGCTACTGTTATCAGAATGTATATTAATATTTCAGAGTGAGGTGTCACCGGAGGATGAATTGGAACAATGGGGTAATAATACTATTTAATATGCACTAATACACAATAATATATTACACTATCATCCATGTGTTAGAACTCACTTGTTACAAACTTGCGTGTTCATTGAGAGAATTCTGAGAAATATTATTTCATTTAGTTGTTTATATACAATAAAACACGTACGTATATTGTCAGAGAAATAATAGGTTTGTTATTAATTTATTGTAATTTCTTTGCAATAAGTTGTCGTGTCCTGTCCAAACGATAAGTATCTCAATGTTTCTTAATTTTTTTTTTATAACAAACATCAGTTTCATTTTATCGGTCTATCATTAAATGCACAGAGAATGCGTGTACAGGATGGAAAGAAAAGTTTGTCCGTGGTTGTCGTAAATGAATTCTACACCTTCGATTTGATGATAATATATGTTAAAAACCAACCGCAAAATTGATCTCGACCTCGGTTCCCTCCACTGTAAATCAATCAACTATAATCGGTCTAGATAAACAGTGGTATTTAGAATAATCATACAATTCTATTAAATGAATTATTGCAGAGAAAAGAGATGTCCTGGCAGATTTTGCGAACGAAATCAAGGAAGAATCAGGGAGTCTATCGCTTCTCTCAAAAAGATCTATACCCTGGGAGGCTGTCAACAATATATCGAACATCATCGAACCTTTGCGCGATCAACTTAGAAACGTGACGTTTGACGAACTAATTCAAGTTCTTGAGAATTTAATTACAAATTCTACAAATAATACTTCTCCAGAAATTCGGCAAATAATAAGAGGGATACTAGACTTACCGTTACTTGGCAACATCATAAATGCTAGTGTAGCTGTAGCAGGCGTAAGTCACATTTGTATAATTTTATTAAAATTTCTTCCCATCGTTATTAATTACGAGATAGACTAAGTTAGTTGCTTAACAAACGAGAATGATGTTTCGTTGAAGTCACGCGTATATTTACAAGTGCTTGCAAGCTATTTGTGGCAAATTACCTAACACGTAGCTGTCTGTACGTTTCGCGAAAAGGCCATTTTCATTTGTAATATTTTATTCTATCAAAAATGGTCTTTTTATATAGAGTATAACTGCGTGGAGATATTCGTAAAATTAATAACGAAATGCTTACGAATCATGAACAGCAATGAGCGTGTGAACAGGTAAAATTAATAACGAAATGCTTACGAATCATGAACAGCAATGAGCGTGTGAACCTGAAATTTCTTTTTTCCTTTTATATGTTTCAGCTTTCAGCTGATATCGTTGCAGTTGCATTCGCTATAATTATTAGAGTGATCGTAATATTACCACAATCTCCAATCCCAATTCCTCCAATCCCAATTCTTCCAAACCTAATTCCTCCAAACCCAATTCCTCCAAACCCAATTCCTCCAAACCCAATTCCTCAAATTCCAGTTCCTCGAATTCCAATTCCTCGTCCTCTACAACCATTTCTCCGTCCATTTACAATTCCTCCGTTCATTTGATAAAATGCCCCATGCACTTACATATAAACATGCAATAATGTATATATTTTAAAATAAATAAATTAGCATCTGCAGAATAAACTAACTAAATAAATCTACTTTTTTTTTTCTTCTTCTTCTCATTCTCTACTTCGCGCGCTACATTTGTCGTTCTCCCCTTGTTTTCAGTTACAAATCTTCCTATCGTGTTCAATTATTCTTAGTCCCGTTTGATTTCAATTTCATTACGATGACACTATTAATGGAAAATCAGAAATGGTAATTGTTGCAACAGGAATGAAAAAGAAATCATAGGACGACAATTATTTCTTCGGCTGAAATATTTTTTGACTACAAACAACGGTTATAACAATTCGAACAATTTTTTCGACGATTGGATCTGTCATAACGGTTATCAGTGAAGGAAATTTATTTCGGTTGGTTAATTTACATCGGTAGAATAACTCTACGGCTTTCAAAATTTCTCGATGCGGTAGAGGATTGTTTTAGTCTAATGTAAATTATTACGTTACTTTGTATTTTACATTATTTATCGAACAACCGGACTGGACTTTCCGTCGTCGATAACTATTATAAGCAAGCGAAATAAATTTCCGTTATCGTTAACTCATATTTTAACGAACGGAATAAAACCTTCCCTCGTCAATAACGATTATTGGCACTAAAAAGAAACAGAATGTTCGGTTACGTACAACTGTCACGTCGTTTGTCAAAACGTTTAATTCTTTTAACCTGTAATTTTTAATTTTCTGGAAAATTTTCTTTACATTTTTTGGATTGACATTCTCAACGTAGGTAACAAACAAATTTCAACTGTTGAAATCCTTCTCGTAAAACCTTTATTTCTGACTCTTGCTCTTATGTATCAATTGCAAGAAGAAATTTTATCTAATTCTAATTTATTTGATAAAGTAGACTCGAAAAGCTTTTCCTTTGACAACTAAACAAACGAGCTTTCGAAGAAGCATCTCACACGAGTCAGACAGCTGTTCGCGCGTCTTGTGTTCACACCGTGAAAGAAACCGAAAGAGAAAGTATGTAAGTGCGTGTCGTAAGAGAGCATGCCAGCTTCGTACCGGAACGCGGCGAAATATCTTAGTCGGCGAGTGACTGCAATACGACGAACAACACCTTGCCCGATAAATTCTCATCCTGATCTCGTTTCGTACACGGTACAACGATTTTTCTTTTTTTTTTTTTTTAATAAAAAACTGGGAGGAAAAATCGTGGCGTGCGTACGCTTCACTGACATCGTCAATAAATCTCGTTTAAGAAGGAGGAGGAAATTTTTCTTTGCGGTGTAACGATGCGGAGGATCGTTGGTGAACGAAGAATGTTGAGATTCTGCATTTTGATGGTCGTTTGTCGCTTTGACTCCACCATCGGAATACCTGCGGAGCAACCAACCAGATTCACATTGAACACTGGAGATCCCAGCACGAAAAATGTCGCTGCCACGTTCAATTACGCGCCAGGCCAGGTGAGCCTCTAAATCTCTAATTTTCAAAATTAAATTTTAAAATTAAATTTCAAATGTAGAAGCATAATGCGATACACACAGAGGACGTGATCAGCTTTCAATATCTCCGTTGTCTTCTTTAAAGATATGAAAATGTTTTGCTGATAAAAATTGTTTGATACACGGTTTTCGTAGGTGACCTCAACTTTGTCTTTTTAATGGAATGGTATACTCTTTTGCCCCGTTAGTCGATGCAGCTCGGCATTCATTATAAAAAAAAAATGTTAATTTACGTATGTACCTAAGTCAAGAAACTATTAGCTTAGAAAATATTAGTTCTGTAAGATCTGCTGTGTGAAAAACGAGGAGGGCATTATTTTTGTGTTTGTTCTGTCCATGTCTTTCGTGCATAAATTTTATAAAATTCAAATTTAATTATATCGACTAAATTAAAATTTAATTGTATTGATTTTTGGACGTTAGATCGATACTTTTTCATCATTACTATCGTTCTCTCCGCGCTAAATAGTTTTTGTCGACAAAATTTCTTTCGTATCTTTTGGAGATACAAGAGGAAACAATTTTTGAGATATTCAAGATGATCAAGTCACGTATCCTGTGTACAAGCGAAAATGAAGATTGTCATGTTTCAATGTTTCGTTAAAAATTCACACATTTCTTTCTCATTTTCGCTTGTTTGTTACGCTCCCATAGTTTATTAACTTATGGCAATTGCTGTGATATTGGCACGCAGTTCTAACGGGGACACTCGTGAAAAAGAAGATCAAGGATCACTAGGTTCGGTATGAAAAGGTGGACTGGTATTGGAAAATTGTTTTTCGATTTTTATAGGAGTTGTTAGGCCGTGTCACGGACGCGGTAAGAATCGGCACAGGGAGATTCGTGAATTCCGTCACGTTGGCCAGAAACATCATAGCCAATCAGGCGCAGGTAATTGGCGCCACTGACTTCACTATCGCTTACCTCCAATTTTTTTCTCTCTCATCAGTCTAATTCTTCTGTCGTCTTCCTTCGAGACTTCAAACTTCATCCATTGATCTTCAAATTTCACTGATTAATCTTCCACTGTCGTAATTCAAACTATTTCATCTCTGTCACTTCCTCTGCGAAAGTTTCATCCCCAAAAGATGTCCATCTTCCCTTCCATTCTCTCCATTTCGTCCGATTCCTAAAAAAGAAACCCATCGTGGCAGAAAAGTGAAAGTGAAACGAGAGACACGCGACGAATAAATCGATCCACCTCTCAACAGGATTTCGTCATTTGTCACAAGGTTGTGTTTTCTTAATTAATGCATCGTTGCTCAAACAACGAGCAACGAATCGACCTGATTTGAATTCGAAGCTGAATCTCGCGGTAGGATCGCCGATTATCTAAACGAGATGCGTTACTATATTATAGGATTATACAGGGTGTCACGGGTTTCCGCCGCCAAACTGCGTACTTTATACAAAGTTTGCGAATTAACGCTTTGTTACAGAGATATAATCAAAAACAGAAACGAGTTTCAATATTTCAATCATTCCTTTCCTTTGCACGAGCCTAGTTTCATAATTGGAAATGAGCGTTGATAAACACAGATCTATCCGATATCCTTGTAATTACGAAAACTATACGATGAATATTATAAATTTACCTATGGGGGTACTTTGAAACAAAAGATTTACTCGACTTCGAATTGACTTCATACGAAGATCTAGTGCAGCGTATTAAAAATGCAGTTATTGAAATGCAACAAGATACCGAGACACTGCATAGAGCAAAAGAATTCAGTTTCTCATCGATGTCAAGCAGGTGAACATCATTTTGAAATGAGACTTTAAAAATAGTCAGTAACTATTTATTATTATTTGTTTATATCTCCTTAACAAAGCGTTAATTCGCAAACTTCATAGAACATTTTTTTCTTCTTCTCTTGGCCCCTGGAATAAACTCTCGCAGTTTGGCGGGAAAAAGCCGGGACACCCTGTATATATTCACCTAACGTTCATTTACACGCTGTCATTAAACTCGGCGATTGAGAAATGGCAATAGAAACGTTCGAATGATAGACACACTAGACTTTCATACCCTTGTTCTGGTGAAACGCAGGCTCTGGCCAGTGAGACGGAGAACAACGTGGCCGCGGTAGAGGTGCAAAAGTCGGTGGCCTTGAACTATGAACCGATATCTTTCGAAACGACCCAGTATCCGCCAGTGACGAACATTCGGCCAAACTCGCGCGAAACTGTCAGATTGGAGAACGAAACGGCGCAGAGTTTCTTGGAGAAACCAATTTCCAAGCCTGTCGCGAGTATTTTGGAATCTATCCTGAGCCCGACGCCGTTGGTCGATGGCGTGAAGGAAGAAGAGAAGTACGGAAACTCCGGTGACAAGTTCATCGGGATCGGTCGGACTCTGGTGAATGGATTCGAGACATTTAGCAACTTTCTGAACGCTGTCGTTGACGTACGTACATATACATTCACGTATGAATTGGATATCGAACTCTTCGACAGTTTAGAAAAGTTAGGATTCCTGTGGTTGAGTCGAAGCCTCTGGCTTCTAATTTCTGACGTGAAATTAGAAGGATAAGCATCTTTGACAACTTGAGAGCGCAACTGAACGAAAAAGTCGTCGATAATTTAAACTGATATATAGCTCGTCTGTGAAGATGATCGTGTAGCGAATGATGCAAACAAGTGAGTTCGTTTTCTTGTGAAATTGCGAATATTCAAACTTGTAGAAACATTAAAAATTTTATTTCAGACGTAATCAGATTAACTTAACTTTCGTTTTGAAGATTGAACCCTTAAAAATTGTTTTCTTCATCGTTTTCAATATTCAAGAAATCTTAACATTTCATTATCTGATTTTAATATCCCAAGTTCAATAAAATGGCAAAGAATAAAAAAAAAAAAAATCGTGCAGTGAATTTCAAGAGCTCGTTGCAAAAGTTTCAATCTTTAATCTTTAAACTCTTAAACTTTAAAATTTTTTAAACTCAATCAGAGAAAATAATTTTTTTTTGACGTAACACGTGAATTTTTACAATTTTTACAATTTTTACAATCTTCTGAGAAAACAGTATCCTCACTGTTCCATCTCTTACATAACATAAAGTCATCTTCGAAGAAAATACAAAGTTATATCAGTTTAAGTCATCGACAATTATTCATTATCATTGGTACAGTTACGCTTTTCACTCTAATTACATTAGGCGCGAGAAATGGAATTTATAATGTCATTTGAGTTTGTCGAGTCTTTCTCAAGCAGCGCTCTGATCAAAGGATCAGAGTATCTAACCTACGTAAATTAAAGAAAATCAATCTCTTCCTCGATGATAATACAGTGATCGTTGTTTCCAGTTTCCACGCAAGACTGTGAAAAAGACAAGCCAAGGAATCACGGACGTGCTGAATAAGGTGGGAGCTCGTCTCGTCGGGTTGGAATAATGTAAATACCATAATTCACGTAAGACTGTTTTACTCGATGTTTCAATTGTTGTGCGTTGTTCGAATAAACTGTTCGTCTTTCTCACTGTATCGTTTCATGAACAAATAAAATGATTTTCTCGCTGATCGATCGAAGAAGACACACCGACTGCAGACATTTAAGCGAATTAGTATCTTCGTGAACGACCAAAGGAATCTCGCCTACTAAAACATTTTGACAAATTCGTCTGTTTGTTTTATACATTCTATGGCGACTGCCAGCCATCATTCGATGATCGACCAGGCGAGGAAATCACGTTGCACCGAGCGTGAGGGAGAAGAGTCGTGGATAAGCATCTGGAGAAAACACATTGTCGCATAAATACATTGTTTATTACTCGAACGATACACGTAACGAACATCCTACAGCGTGATGCAACGCAAAATAGCAAGCTGCACTGGAAATCACGGCACTTGAATAAACTTGAATAATAGACTCTCGAGTGCTGCTAAATTACCAACTACAATTGACACGGCGTTGTACACGATCAAAATAATCACGATGAAAACGTATACATACGTGCCGATCGACACGCCCGTGGATTTTAAAGCTAAGCGAAAGGTAATAAAATCTTGGAAACTGCAGGTGTTCCGCGGGCGTGCGATCGGTTCGATCTTAACGCGATAAAAAAAATACAATAGTTGTGCCCGCGTTCGCGCAACCGGGGACGTTATACCGAAGAAACAAAGTATCGACGAGAAATCGTCGGGCAAAGCCCCTGGTTACGACGAAACGGCGATATTTTGGTATACTCGGCGTGCGTGCCTACAACGTGTCTTGCCTCTAGTAAATAAAACTGATTCGCATGCAAGGTAACATAAAACGTAATCGCAATAATCTACGATATACAAAGTTTCTCTGTCGCGTGTCTAGTCTAATCGACAATCGATCAAAACGATCTCGCGACAATGTACTCCACTCTAGTCCTTTTGATTCGTCCTTATTCCTACGAGTTGGAAACTTGGTGTCCCGTTGTGTTCGAGGTGTTTGTCGAACTGGTCGGCGAAAAAAACGGAGGAAGGGTTCGCGTTCGTCTCGAATTGAACGAGCCATTAGAGTAATCGGTCGTCTCGTGCGTCTCTGAAGCGTGGTGCTCGTTAATCGTCTCGTCCCACTATCTCGTTCGCCGATAAAGCAGAAGGTTCACGCACACTCGCGTACGTGCGATAGTGGCGGCGATAGATTCGGCGGTGATCACTGGGGAATCTACCTACTCGAGCTCTACGATAGAAAAACAGGAGTCGTTCTCGTCTGGGGACAGAATCGAGTGTGCACACGAGGAAAAGAAAATTTGGAGGGATCCAGCGCGCGCGCGAGTGCAACAATCGAAATCTTCTTCGCGAAAGTTCTCGGGGGAGGGGGGAGGGAGGATGTGAAGAAGATCGTGATTGTCGCAGACGTGATTTGACGCGTGATATTGATTATAGTTGAAGTTGAGTTGTTTCGATGGACCTTAGACACTGGTCTCGTCTAAGATCCATCTGAAATTCTAGGTGTTCGTAGTGTCGTAGCTCTTGTACGTGTGGGATGACCTCTTGTGCCTGACGGTGCAGAACAAGATCATGCTGGCCACTTGTCCGAACAGCTGGAGGAAGGCGACGACGAGGCCAACGGTGCCTACCACGTGAAGCCTGGTGACTAGCCACATTTGAATGGCCGTGGCGCAGCCTTCCTGGTACCAGAGCTCCTTGTTCCGTTCCTCAAGGTCGAGACGACCGCAGTACCGTTCCCTCTGTATGCAGCAGGAGTCCGGCACTCGATCCTCCGTCGGCCACGCGTTGATCCGGAACCAGTCGGTGTAATCTCGCACGCCGCAGCAATGGAACTGAAAATCGTCGATTTTGAAATTTGTTCATTTCACGTAATTTGATTTGTTTATTTAGTAAGAGAAAATTCATTGAGAAGAAAGGGACACGCGAGAGAATGATGACAATAAAAGACAAAGCAACGCAATACAACAACATGAAGGAAATGTAAATGTAAAAGAAACAATGTTACGTCATATTTGCGAAAGAGGACGTAATTTATGTTCAATCTGAAATCGAGAGTCATTAGAAAGATTAATTCTGCTTAGAAATCGAGTTCAATTTTTTTGTAAATTCCGGAGCTAGAACACCTAGAGCATTTGTGTTAAATTTCTCTAGTCGTGTTGCAAGTTCAAAAATTTTAATTCAAAATAGACTGATTTTTATAACAGCTAGTAGTGGCTTTGATTTGAACATTGAAGGACTAAAGTTTAATTCGAAGACTGAATCTTGATAAAAAATCTAGCTGAACCGACTAGAATGACATTTGGCTGTTCTCACCTCTGTGTGTATGTGGTCCCATATAGCAGGAAGCGTTCCAGGTTCCCTGGTCACGTTGTAATGTTTCTCAATGCCGAACAGAAGCTCGTCCTTCAGGCTCTTGGCTAAATGTTCTCTAAAGATGAAGGCCAGGGTGCCCAGCATAAACTCACCGAGGAACATTAGTATCACCAAGAAAAAGTACTGGAAAGAGAGACGAGGTTAGGTAAACGGATATCGACGAAAAGCTAATACCAAGAGGAAGGTGGACAGGGAACGTGAGACTACGAACCGTGATCAACATGCATCTCGATTGAAACCATGCACCGCAGCAGCCGAAGAAGGCGATGACGAAGGTCACGCATCCGGCGGCCAGCAGCAACGAGTCAGCTGACGCGAAACTGTAGTGCGGCACCAAGGTCGTGTATCCGGAGTAAGCCAATCGTAGCCAGAGGCCTGCACCCAAAATTCCGCAAGCGCATAACTGTAAAATAACGATTGAACGAGTCAGAAAGTCTGGCCTGAATGCGCTTGGCCGTGAGGCGTATTTTTCCACGTCGATTTCACGCGAATTGAAAATCAGCGTCGAAATCAAATCGAGGACTACGAGGACAAATTGGTGAAAATTGTCATTTTACAATTTACTATAGATTGTACATGTAGATTGTATGAAGAATTATAAAACCGATGTCTATTCGAAAGGTAAAATAAGTTGGTAGTACAATAAAATTCACATTAAAGAAGAAACATAAAACAGACACAAAAGATCCTTGGACCTTTGTAAAATAATATATATATATATATATAGACATACATATTATTTTATAATAATATATATATGTTATTTTATAATTTTACATATATATATAAATGTTATTTTATAATTTTATATATATATATATATATAAATGTTATTTTATAATTTTATACATATATATATGTTATTTTATAATTTTATATATTTATATATATGTGTGTGTGTGTGTTACAAAAAGTTCGACTCGTCGAAGCACTCGCGTCGAATTCAATTCACGTTTTTATTTTCGAGAGTCGTTTATAATCCTCGGGTCGCAACCTTATTGTGGTTCCAAGGACCACAAAGTTCCTAGAAGATCCGAGGATCCTTTGTCTCTGTTTTATGTCTTTCCTTCCACGTGGATTCTACGTACTACCAAATTTCTTTACAACTAATTTTCTTAGGAAGAATGAAAGCCAGCGAAAAAACAGAGACGGTTAGAACGATATCGCGAACAGAAAGACGGTCTCTCCTTGGCGATTCGATGCACGATCGTCCAGGCAATATGATCGTCGCTTCCGTATGAGCGTTGCAGATTGTTGCGAAAGCTCTTAAATCACGAGGTCGAACGGAGGTTCCAGCTGTGCGTGGTCGTTCGATCCGCAACTGCTCTCTGCGCAACCTTCGATTCTGCCCAAAGTAATTTTGGATTGCCGCTCTTGAAATTGGAAATCGATCGGAAATTACGAATTGCAGAGGCAGAGAATCGACGGATGAACCCAGCGGACGTTCACGCTTGGTTAGTGTCTCGATTATTCAGATTAATCCCTTAAGCATTTATGTCACGAAAAGATGGAACTTTTTATTTAATGTCATGTAGAAAAAAATTTGCTTTTGCTATTTATTGTGAAATTTAGACAAAAAATTACTTATATTTGTAATTTGTAATTTTATGTATAATTTTATGTATAATTTTAGTAATATTTTAGAATATTTCAAGGCAACAAAACAAAACAAAAAAAAAACAAAATTAAAAATTTTTCAAAGAAACATCAAAAAATTTTGTCACTTTGTCATACTTTAACTCAATCTTGCAGCAAGTGCATTTACTTTGTTTTCGTCTAGAAATAATTAAGCATACCAGTGCACATTCTCAAAATAAAACAAAACGCTCAAGGGGTTAATAATACATGGAAAAAAGAAGCTAGCCTAAACCTAAGATTAGTTTCTCGGTTAGGTTAAGCTATTTTTACGTGGAAAAAAGAAACAAAAAATAGGTCGTCCGCGAGAAAGCACTTTCCTCTTGTACTGTAACGTTAATGAAATTCTAACGTGACTAGACTAGTTTCTTTTCGTCGCGGGATATTGCGAACAGCATTTGAAACGCATTTGCAGCTCGATTTACGTGTACTTCGTACGTACTTTCTTCCTTGTGCCCGGTGGCCGACTCGCGGTTATGGGTTTCAAAGGGGAAATTGTCGTTCTCGGTCAGGTGAAACAGAGTTTCTGGGTGAAGTGTACGCAGACGTATCGGTGACAGCGAGATTAGAAGGTATATTGACCTTTTCCTTCCGGAGATTGTTGCGGTTTAGTAATTTGTACTCTCTGTACTGTCCTCCGAGCAAGATTAAAGCCATTCGTCGTTCTACCTCAGAGAGAGAGAGAGAGAGACCTACCGTCATTTACGATTTCTACCGTTCCTTTGTTCAACTGCTTCAATTTCAGCTGGCCATCTACAAACCTCCAACCCATTATATCTGCTAGTATTGTTCGAATGAATCGTGCGACAGCTTTATTGCCACGCGGCCCGAAATTAATATTGCCCTGAATCGGACGTACATATGTACGTTCTCTGCGCTTTCAGACTTTCACGGTCTGCCCCATTACTATAATACTTCGATTATCTCGCGCGATCGAGATTGTATTCCTTCGAACGCTGCGTTCAACTATCATTTTACGCGGTTCCACTAATGTCTGTTGTAGAGCAGCAGTGTCACGTAGCATAGTCGACGAAGTATCATTACAAAAATTGGAAAATTGAGAAATTCCGACAAATATTTAGAAGAATGATTGCAGGTAATTTATTCTGTAAAAAATATATGGCACGGAATAAGGAAGGATGACAAAGAGGACTGTGTTTGAAAATGAGTCCCGAGTATTCGAAAGCTACAGCTACCATAAAGACTAAAGTCTTCTCTGAGTTTGGACTTTGAACTGTAAAATCTCAAGTCCTCGATGCTCTTAACGCTAGAACAACCAACGTGAAATTCAAATACAAAATTTCCACTAGAGGCAAAATGAAAATAAAAAAAAGAAGAAATAGAATAACTTTAGAATACGCAATCTTTTATTTATATATTTTACGAAAAATCACTTGAATACGCTGTTTTACATTTAACAGAATTCCTAACAAAAATCGTAAATTGACCATTTTGACCATTTCGGTGGTTCTAGCGTTTAACTCGAAGATTCGAGCCTTGGAACCTTAAGAATTTCGAAACTTTTAATGTCTTATATCGAAACTTTTAATGTCTTTCAACCAGGCTATTTACATGGTTGTACAATAACGAACTGTCGTCCAAACACTAATTGTAAATAAAATAATAGTTGCGAGTGGAGCCGTAAGAGGTGCGCACAGGCACTACGGTGTCCAAGAACTAATGATAATCTGTGCTTTGTTAGCTGGTTATTTGATTGTTAGCTTTTTTTTTTTATGATTGTTAGCTATGATAATCTGTGCATTGGAGTCGGGCCTTATATACCCCCGACTCCCTTTGTATCTTTTCTAGGTCGAAAGATCTGGAAGTTTATTGCTTAACTGGGCCATGAGAATTTTTTTTGACAATTACCTCATGGCCTTGACGGTACACGTCGTTGAGGAACGACATATTCATTATATTACTGCCTGGGTCGTGTCCCCTACAAAGCTTTAAGATTTCATAAGAGCCTTAACCTTCGGAAATCTTAAAACTTTGAAAAAAATTGAATTTGCAATTAGTGATAACAAGAACTCAATCTTTGAGCCTTGCAGCGTCGAACACTCGAGACACTGGTGCAAATAATTTCGAAAGTGGGGAGCACTGTCACACTCACGAAGGGGGGAAGTAGCAAGTAAGGTCAGAAGCGTTGATAAGACGGGTAATCTAGCGAAATAGAGGCACTTCTAGCGGAATATTGACCCTCGCGGCGATACATCGAACCGGCGTAAATTAGCATCAACGTGGTAACGACGGGGCCGCGTTATCCAATCCAGTTAAACTAGTTCGAATGAAGTAATTCGAGCGTGGTTGCTTAGGATCGAGACGGATATCGGCCGATCTGTGCGGCGATTTATCGGCGAGCAGCATCGGTGGCCGCGAGGAACGAATGGACCGTACGATCGAAACGATTAAACGCCGCTCGATTTACGTCGTCCGCGAAACGAGTACCGTTAAAGATCCGCATCTCTCTCTCTCTCTCTCTCTCTCTCTCGCGGATGAAACGGCACAACGTGCACAAACCCCGGCCGACTGATTAGCAACCCGACTGCGTGCCCGCGCGAAATTGCAGACGCAATTTCAACGCGGCCGTTCGAGTTTGCGCAATTAAGGGCACAAGACACGTAATGAGGACCACGTAACGTGGAAAATTGTATTTCCGTGTTTCACGACGGAATTGGAAATGAGAATGAGTGAAGAATTCCCACCTGAAGTATAGCTTGCATTTGGCAGGTTATGGATTTTTTATTTTGATCTCATTGAGATGTCATTTGAAGAATTTCGTCAGATATTTTATAAATGTATTTTTAGAGGCTTGAATGACTCTTCGCAAGATACATGAAAATGAAAGCTTGCGTAGTTTAAAGCTTGTATCATAAAGATCTTCTGTTTTGCTTTAACGTCTCTGATGGAAATTTCATGCATCAATTAGTAGTTTTAGCGTTAATTGCTAAAAATGTGGGAACATTGCTCGATTGAATCGTAATTATTGATTTTCAGTTGCAAGATCCGAATGTTACAATCGACTTGTCTCGCACAGTAAGTGAGATTTCTATAAAAGGATCTCTACCGGTATTCTCCAGAAACGCGAAACTCCAGATGTCTTCTCCAAAGACAATATTTTACAATCGACACGGAGGATTTACTTTATACCCAGAGAATGTAAGGTACGAAGACAGAGCGTATCGCAAATCAAAATGCACGACGATGACAATGGCGAACCGTGTAACGACCGGTGTGCACCTGTTGAAAGATCTGCCCGGCTGAGAGGAGAAGGCCGGTTAAACGAGCGTCTGCGAGCGTCTGTCTCCTCGGGTACCGTAAGTAAGTTCATAGCTCATAGAGCACGGTTCAACGTCCTATTTAAGAGTGGCGCGCGGCGAGGACGGGCGATCTCTCAAGTGGCACAATAAATTCGAGAGGAGAGACAGTACTGGGCAGCGGAATGCAGCGAGAATGACAATGCGCATCGATTTAATCGCATGCGTGGGCCAAGATCCTCCTCGTTTCTGCCTCCTCGTGGCTCTCTGCCTCGCGTCGCACAGTATCGGCACGAACAACCATGGAAATTAACTTTGTCGATCGTGTTTCTCGGCCCGCGAACGTGACACGCTTACGGTCACGTTCGAACCGCGTTGTTTTTCGATTCGTGTGCCGCCTCGTCAGCGGTATAGTCGAACAATATTTATTTTTAACCATGCAAGGAAGAGAGAAAGAGAGAAAAAGAGAGAAAGAGGCTTTTATGGTCGATGACGAAACGAATGGGACCGGACGTTGCATGCGATAATTATATTTCCGTAAATATATATACGTACGCGTATAAATCGCGATGACGACGATCAAGCGAAGATTAATGGCATTTTGATCATCTTGTATTGAGAGAGTCGGAGGGGGATATAAATTTTCTGACCTTTCTGACGAGTATCGTCCATTAAATTTTCTGTCATAAACCGTCAAATACAGTAAATATCTCGCGAAAATGTTCGAATATCGTGTAAATAAATAAATAAATAAATAAATATATATAATAATGCTGTTTATTCGTTAGCTCCCCGGGAAGAATATTAGTTGCATAAATTTGTTAAATTTCTCTCTTTTACCAACTTCTTTTGTTTTGATTTCGACAAAATTATGCGAAATGGAAGAAAAAGTTTACCAAAATTATTCTGTTACTTTCTCGTCGATGGATCTTCAAATCGAAGGAACTACGAGCGATCAAAGTTTCATTTGAGAAAAAAAAAAAAAAAAAAGGAAGAAGGACAGTGCACGTGCACACCTACGTGCTAATTGCCTCTAGTTGATAAATTGATAAAGATAAGAAGCGTTACGTACCCAAATGAGAACGTTGAGGGAGCAGAAAACGTGCCTGATGCACGTGTATCCTGTGCGGCCCATGGCAAAATCCCACGCAAGATCCTCGCGTTTCCGTTGGATTGGCAGTGTTTCCTAGAAACACGAGGAATGCGATAATTCTCACTCGAGAGCAGCCGAGACCAACCGATTTTTACCATCGCTGCCACCTGTTCCACCTGGATTCTGAATCGCAAACACGCCGATGCACGTGGTGGACCGGCACGCCGCGAATTTTAATTGGCGCACGCACACCGATCGCCTCGTTAACCATTCGTATTCGCCGGTTTCGTTAACAACGTTGCGGCAACTTTCGCTGTTTACTCTCGCTGTGGACCACGATCCAGCGGGTTTTTCGATTGGGAAACACGCTCGATAATGATCAGGAAACACACACGTGGGAATCCAGCGGACTAACTGATTACTGGATTATGATTTGTTCGATTAAATACTTTTTCTTGGATTCTCGGGGATAGGATTAATATTCGTACATGCCTAGATTATGGGTGTCCAACTTTTTATATCTGGGACTAATTGGTCAACAAAAATTTATTGAGAGCCGCACAGAGTAACAACTCTTATAGTGAAACAATGTATTGATTAGAAAAATATATTTTATGTTGATTGAAAAAATTTTTAGTAAGAACGTCGAGATTGTTTTTTAGATATCAGATCATCAATATTTGGTTTGATACAGGTGGTAATACGAAGAGTATTTTCGAAATACTTGACTAAAATTGTTCTTCTTATTTTTTTTTTTTTTTTTTTTTTTTTGTTTGTGTGTGCATCGTGCAGAAAAAAATCTGTTCTCAAATATAAACATTTCTCCAAAAGGGATATAGTGAACAGCACATGTTTGTGAAGTCCTGAATATTTTCTTTAGGCAAGTGGAGTTTACGAAAGTCTAATAAAGACTCTTGGATAAACTATATTGCTGGCAATATATTGATATGAACTGAGAATGAAGTAGCAAATGTGTCAACCGTCTAAAATAAAAAATATATATTTCTCTTGAAAATTATTCGTAATTAGTCACTCTAACACCAAATTTAGAAAATGGTATGATTATTTACGATTAAAATTATACGAATAATGAAATTCTTGTTCAATTATTCCAATTTTAGTTATACAACGCTGTAAGGGACACGCTTGATTTAGATGTTTATATCTACTTATTGTTATTTTAATAAAGGAATATAGAATAGGCATTAGTATATTCAATACTGTCAAGAAATGTTACTTTTTACTTGAGATCCACGTGAAGATACTTACATACATTTCAGACGTGTGTACTGCCGAGTTAAATGAAAAAGGCGGTTATCGTATCGTTGGGAAACACGTTAATCGCCAAGGAAACGGGTACGAAGAGCAAGAAGGGAAGGAAGAAGAGGGAAACTAAAGATTCACGATTACAGTATTTGTTGCGAAGAGTCTGATAGCGAACGTTCCTATTTTACTTAGAACGTCGCGCGATGAATTGACCCTTTCATTACCGATCATCGAGTATTTACTTTAATGAAAGAGCACGCGTTTTCACGTTTTGAATAACGCACTCGTTGTAATATTCAACGGGTGGAAACGATTTTTTGTTAACGTCCCGATTCTTCAATTACATTTATTGAGATATGGAATTGTCGTTACAACTAGATTTATAATTTCTAATGGTTTAATGGTGGTTTTCGACAGAAGAAAAGAATCTTCACCGTCGAGTGCAAACTTACAGTCAACTTTCGACGTCAGTCCTCCCTCGGCTTTCATCCTTGCGACGCAAGAACAACTTTCAAACTTTCTGCACCGCCGGCCTCGACTAATTTCAGACGAATCGAAAATTACGCGCGAGCCAGTTGAGAAAACCTCGTACCGGTCGACTGATCAGCCTGACCGGCTGACAGGCGATCCTCGTCGGACGAGGATCCGTTCCGGTGTGTTCGGAACCAGGTTGATACGATTGGCTGTGGCCCCTTCTGGGCCTTCTAGGTCCCCTAACGGGACACCCTGCCGACAACCGAGGCCTCTCACCTAAACGCAATCCCAATCACGATCGCGTGGGTCCACTCGCGTGGCGAGGAGTGGAGGCAACACCTATCGAAAGGTTTACTCGCGCGGAGACGTCACTTTCCTGTGAACGCTTGCTGAGTGGCGACCGAGACGCAAGGTCGTCGGAAATCTGCCACCGTGTTTTTCCTCTCCCCGTGGTTTCCGTCACGCGATACGTGACTGGTGTTTCCGAATAATCGAACGACGTAGAAATTACCCGCGGCTACTCGGATTAATTAACACGTTGTATCTGATAACATTGACTCTTTCGTGAAATCTGAAGTTGGAAGATATTTTAGAAAAAATAGCGTAATTGCAAATTTTAGAAACGTGAGAGTTTAGAATTGATCGACTATTCCATTACTGCCGATCGCAATATTGAACGTGTCGATTTTGAGAAATGAATCAAGCGTGCTCGTCGTTCGATTTTCATCTTTACATGAGAATTTATGGAGCGACGCGAGAAGACAGTATAGAGAAAAGATTTCACGATCGCGATCTCGGGGAACAATCGGCGGTGTGTTCGACGCGCGGTTTTTCATGCATTAAAGATCGCTCATCGCACGTGCGTAAATAATGTATCGAGCTGCGCGCGTCTTCGGCCGATGAATAAAAGATCCGCTCCGCGATTCTCCTCTCGATGCTTTGTTCCAATTAATCGCATAATAAGAACCCGCCAATCTCTCCTGCCAATAATCGTTAACCGACCGATCTTACCGATTCACCCGCCATTTCTGTCCAATCGCGCAAAGCGCACGCAAATACCTATTGGGAAACTGCGAGAACGATTTATCGAACTCTCTAATCTGACAGAAGAAACGCCGCATTTATCTGCAAACGTTGCGAGGCGAATTTCTCGCCTGAACGCTTCCGACTGATCGTACGTTACTTTGCACAGGTGAGACGCCTGTTGAATAGCCGCGAGAAGAAAGGGGACCGTGACATTGCTTATCTCGAACGGTCGAGTGCGACATTAGTTTACCACGGTTCACCGATTTCTAATGCGAGTAACGCGGCCAAAAAGTGTGCATTCCTCGAAGCTCGAAGAAGAAACGCGCGATTTATGTTCATTTATGTTCACGGCCAGGATGTAGTAAATTTACGGACTCGTCGATTCGATTTGTTCTCTTGTTATCTCTTGACAAGCGCGGTTGCGATCGTTTCCATCTTTTATATCGCTTTGACGAAAAAAATCCCCACTCCTTGCGCATCGATTTGAATGTCGTTGTCGGTATGGGATAATATTGATTCACCTTATCGCGCCAGCGAACACGTTGCTTCGTGTAATATCACTTGTTGCGAATGGTGCTCGTTAAACAAACGGCTTCTCCTGGCGTTAAATATGCCATACTTTTCGTATTCTGCATCCGAAATAATGGATAACCTGGCTCGTTTTTAAACAAACAGAAAAAAAGTTAGAGAAATTTCCTGAAATTTCCTTTGTTGGGTTTCTTTGTCCCTTGCATGTGTGCTTGACATTATACGTTTGACAGCATGAGTAAAAATATAAATCTGACGAATCGCGTATCGTAGAACGACGCGTATCGTTTGAGAACGACGAGCGAGATGCGAGTCTGCGATATATATATATATATATTGAAAAATTGACGGTTTAAAACAGTAGTTACTCGGACGGTTGATGGTACACAAGCAAATGAAGGGTCTCGAAGTGATGGAAACGCGCGACACGCTGTCTGACTACCAAACTGTCGCGACATTAATCATTTTCTATTGCTTGGTCCTTGGTGTCTCCTAACTGTCGCATCCACGATTAATAAGCGAGCAATCGGCAGCATCGTTAAAAATACAAACCTGACGAACAACGTAACGTCACCGATCTGAGATCATGCATAGTTCATGCTCGTCAACACAGCAACAAATCGTCGTCGTCATTGCGCAAATCACCGCCCGATGACGAGAATTCGACAACGAATTGTCGAAGAATCCGTTTACGATTAATCTCGTACTTGAAATCAATTCGTACGAGCGAAATGGAGAACCGCAAACACACACCGCGGCTAATGAACGGCGAAGAGAGTGCGAGGGGGCGTAAAAACGGTCCCCCTTGCCACGACTTCCTGCCAATTGCGGACAATTTGCCATCATCTATGATCCTCCCCGCTCCTCGTCGCCTCGTCGACGCGGCCAGTGGTGTGGACGGTGCTTAAACCGTAAGAGTTAACGCGGCACGATTCTTCGTCTCTCTTTCCCTTTTTCGCCGCTCTTCCTCGCTTCATATGATACGGGCCATCGACGACGCGACGGCCGCGCATTAACGCGTCCTACGCGGCTCACTTCCCACGTGACGTAACCGAGGAAAGGAACGACGACCAGCGGCGTTGTGTTTCCTCGTAACGTACGCATTTTCTGCGGTGAAATTTTTTCTGATGTCGACCGCCTTTCCCAAATCTTGCAAATTGTCGTACACGTTCCCTTGTTTGCGAATAATTCTGTTGTCTTTTAGGTATCTGTCATTGTATGGAAATGTCTCTCAGTTTGCAATTGGTATGTTTACCGACTTGGATGAAATTTTTATTAAGTGATATTTAATGAAAAACGAAAGAATTGTTGGAGAAAATCACAGGGGCCAAAAAGGACAGAGTGCTCATAATTCCTAATTTATATCGCAATATGCTGGTTAATCGTGGCACGATATGCGGCCTCGTACGCGCTCGTCCTCCCACGTGACATAACGGAGGATCGAACAAAGGGCCGCGTATAATCGTGCAGGCGCCATCGTCGTTTCACAGCCCTTAATCCTCCGCGATCTATACGTGATTGGCTTCTCGAACGTAGGATTACCGTGTGTAAACGTGATGCTTCTCCCTCGCTCGTAACGTAAAGAAGGGGCACACGTTCCCACGTTCAACTTTTCGTTTTCAATGTTTTCAAACTTTGCGTTTAAATTCGTCGAGTTGTGTGAATTCGCGAACGATGAAAAGGGAAAGGTTTCGAGCGGGCGATTCAAACGAGATGAAATTTCCCACGCGACGCGGAAGAAAGCGGACGATAACAGTGGAGCGGCGAAAAGCATCCAGCGACGACGATTGTTCCGGGAAGAGGAACATGGGAAGAGAAATCGACGTTCGGCCGGTTCGCACGGATCGATTTCCTCGGTTGCCGCGATTCCATCGCGCGATTTACCGAAACGACCCGCTTTGCGACATTTAATTAACGTTTCTAATCCCCGGGTGTACGGAGTGGATTACGGTCCTTGATCTAGAAACCTGTTCTAATCGGGGATCATTAAAAACGACGGTTCTCCTCGCTGACCCGCCTGATATCACTGGGACAGCAGTATCGTTAAACTGGTGGCCCCTCACGCGATAATCTTCACGTTCGCATAATGACAACAGTAATTTGCCAATTTCTCGGCGGGTAATGTTTGCAAAGCTAAATTTCTGGCGTGTAATAACGCAATTATCAGAGGCCACGTAATTATGAAAGAAGATTACGTACGAAGCGTAAGAATCTCACGATCATCGTGCGATTAGGATAGAGCCGGGCCGAGATGAACGTCAGATGGCCATTTGCGAGTATAGTCGTGGGGCAGTTGTCTGTTCGCCACTCGGTTGAGAGAAAATTGTTTCTCATACATAGTCGCGGGAGAAACGTGGGGAGAAACTGCAACGAGAGCAGTGTCATTGAACAATCCGCATTAGCATGATTATAAGATTCGTTTATAATCATTATTATGTAATTCACCATCTCGATTGCCGAGTTGCGTAACAGGTTCCACGCACGAAACTGCGTGACGTGCCCTTTGGCGAAAACACTTTGTTGCGTTCTGTTATACTGCATTCTGCGAAAAATGATACCAGACGAGAAAAGGCGAGATTATAAATCATTCTGTGGAAGCGGTACGAGTTGATTCAACGATTTGTACCATTGAGATATCAGAATTAATTCGTACTATCGTCGTTTAGATGCCTTCCTTATCTAACAGAGATCTCTCGCGACAAGGTTAACAGAAACGTTAATAGTCTGTTAATTTTCTGCACGAAACGAGGCGAGAAGAGTTTCACGGAGAGAACCGGCTGTTAGTTTCGCAAGTTTGAAAATCAGAGAAACGGCAAGTCGTGAATTTCGTTTTCCACGAGGAATATCGTACGAAGCAAGGATAGACAATAGCGTGTGTAGAAGCGTAGGAATTTTCCCGACTGGGTTGCATAATATTATCCGAGCGCGCGATGTAACGTTTCGCAAAAGAGATCGTAAATGCAAATGCGTTTTCTTTTCAAAGCGCATCGCGAGCAGAAACTCGCACCTTTGATCGCGCGTATCAGTGTGACACGTTAAACGAGGAATAAAGAAGGAAAAAAGTGTATCACGGCAATAACGCGTTACGATCGCCGCGATTATTCACACCGCGGTCGCCGTCTTCTTTAATTCATGCTCGCCGCGCGGAATTCTGTAAAACGATATAACGATAAACGAGACACGAGCTGTCACTTTCGTCGCGATACCATAGAACCGTAAACCTGTCAAAAATCTTGCGTTTTATTTCGTTTTCTATTTTTCACTTACTCTCGCGCAAGAGAGGAATCGAGAGTTGGAGCGGATTGCGCGTGAAATTCGAAAAAACGGAAGTGCCGAGGGAAGTGCCGGGAGAGACGGTATTTGAAACACAAAGGCAACACTTACAGGTGGGATGAAAGCGAGAACGGTCCAGTGCTGTGTTGTCAACAGGACCTGTCACGAGCTCTTCGTCACTGTGCGAATCACGAAAGTTCATGGAAAGCGGAGTCAAAGGTCGGCTTGCGTTCGCGACAGGTTTCGAGTTCTCGGATCGACTGCACGTCAGGAACGCGCACGACTCTCGCACATCCGTTCTCCATCGGCCACCGTAAAAACGAAAGTCGCCATCTGACGGGAGGCGAAGAAATTGAACGAAGCGAGAGAACGATCCGTAACAGATTGGCCGGGTAGAAAGAGTCCGTGACCCGCGGAGGAAGGAACGTGCTTTCTCATTCTCCTTCTTTCATTCTGTCAATAATAAAAAAGAAAAGAAAAAAGAACGTGGTTTGAATGAACCAGTTAAATAAATAATTAGGAAAGAAAAAGAAAATGAATTTGTAGGTAATTAATATTATGGACACCTAAATGTGAAACACTTGCATGTTTAACGAATCGATTGAAATCCATTACATATACATCGTATTGTAAAAAGTGGAATCGTTGATATATTAACATTTTAATTTGTAAAATAAGCAGTACGGTAAAGTACGCATTGAGCAAAAGTGACATAAAAAAAGAAACACAATCTTTAATTATGCTTTTTATATCTCTGAGAGGACTCCTCCATAGAAGCGATCCATAATTCTAACTCCTTGGTCAAGGCAGGTCGTTGCGCGTTTGGCTCCAGTTCAGCGATTAACTCCGAGACCGGGGTCTTCAAATTTGTGACAGTTTGTCTGCTAAGAACAACAGCACGTACAAAGTTGTCCGTCAAACTAATGAATTCGTGCTCCAGATAAAAGTGCTTGTCCTCCCAGTATATTAACTGTAAAACAAGATTGAAACAAGGTTTTACTTAGTTGACGAATATTTAATATATTGGCATAATGATTGCCTATTCAAGAGCATTTAGCTCACCTTCGTAGTAATTTTATACGGCGTGAAAATAGGAACAGGTCGACGATATCGGGTCAATGAAGCTCCTTGTACTGCGCCCCCACCTCTTTTTGCAGCTGCCGCGTAAATTCCAGAGAGATCATAGTAATGAAAACGTGCAAAGTCCAGTTCCCGAAGATATCTGGCATTGTTCATATGTTTTAGAAATAGATCCACATCTTGCGTGGTACATATGCCTGAAAAAAGAAAAAAGAAATCTCACTCTTTCTCTGCCAGTCTTCATCCAGATAAAAAAAAAAGAGACACAGAAGAAAAAAATAATCACAAGCAAAAGTACCGCAATTATTTATTCAAACTTCGTCACTATATTCGTTTATAAAGGCAGATTACATACGTATGATCTACTCATTTTGCATTACGTGCAAAATAAATCTCATTAAATGCAAATTTAATAGATGTTGTGTAGATTTTATATGTAAAATAATGAACGAAATGGAAACTATAATATCCACTAATTTGATACACTTCTATTTCTGTATATGGTCGTTACATTATAATCATATATTTTATTACGAATCTCTACGAATTGATCGAACCTGTTTCATCTAATTTGCTGATACGATATAAAAATAAAAAAAATAAATAAATAAATAACTAAATAAGATATAAAAGATAGATTGAAATCTTTTTTGATATTACCAATATTATCAATTTCGTTCTTTTCTTATCGTGATAGTATAATTTTTAATTTACTCGTATTGATTACAGGTATGAAACAAAAATACAAACGTGTCGGTGAATTTTCGACTACGAAATAAGATCAAAGAGCGATTTTAAAAAATGCTTGCCTTTGAATTCTTTTGAATCGCAAATAAAGGTTCTTCCGCTTTGTGCGTCCGTTTACCGAAGACATTTCATTATCCTCGATGCAAATCACGTTTGCGACTCAAACGCTTCGTGGGAATTTTCGCGCGTAATTAAACGTATCATTATACAGAGGTCAATTATGACGGGTTATAAATAGAGAATGGTAGGAGATACAAAAAAAGTTGTAGACAAGAAAATTTAATTATTAATTATTATTAGTTTAAAAGATGTTTTAACTTTAATATTCTAAAATCTATGCAGAAGATAAGGACAGTATGAATGCAAGACTGCTGCCATAGTCCTTCCTCGTCTATCGTTCGATAGATTTTTACAAAATTGAGGTTAAAATATCTTCGAAACTAATCATTTTTCGACATACACAAGTTAATATTTTTTTTTTTATGAAGAATATCGTAAAAAAAATGATTCCATTTTTTAAAAAAGTGGTATCTGCATTTTTCATTTTGCATCGTTGCATTTACAGAAAATAAGTAAATCCCCTTATGCCAATCAATTTTCTCCTTCTTCTAACCATTCTTAAACCCGTTAAAATTGCGAGAATCATACTGTGAAAATTTATGTTCACTTTTTACGTTAAACATAAACTACTTTACATTCAATTATATCACTCATTATACTGAGCGAACAAACGGTTCCAGTTACGCCATCGAAATTGTTACAAATTAATTCTCAATTGATAATCAAATCCAAATGGTAATTAAATTCCCATCAATAAGTAAAAATCATCGTCTCATTGATAATTAATAAATAAAAAAATATATTTTTAGACAGATCGAATACAAAAAGTTACAAACCTATGAACGAGAAAGAACACGCAAATACTTTATCGTAACCCGTAGCACAATATAACTGTTGAAAGTAGGAGAAGAACTTAGAACCGTTAGAAGAAATTTCAAATGATCATTACCATAGATAACTGTGGTGTCGAAAATCTTCTTTCTTTTCTGTAACAGCCTGCCCAAACCTAACGTAAACAAGATCCTTAGGAAATAATTTACGTCGAACAGTATATAGAGAACAAGTAAGACTGTGACAAGGCAGGCACACACCATTTTTTTTTTTTTTTTTTTTTCTAATGTTTCCGGAAGACGAGATGAGAAAGGAGAACAAACGGCTCTTGATGTTCACGAAGCCACAGTCCGAGAAACACTGCGTGCGGTTACCGTGAAATTCCAAACTGCGAGGCCGCTTCTTATGCTACGTGGTAGTATAAACTCGTAACCGGTTTCTCATTCGATGGTCGATGACGTTTCGTTCAGGACTGCGCTTGCTTACAACATGTACGGAAGCAGTCAACGCGGTCAAAGAACAATAATCGCTCAATGTCACGCGTGTCTCGAAAATTATACTTTAATCTTTATTTATCGTGATTGTTGTGATGAAATGAGAACTCGATAGCTCGTGGTGACAATTTAATCGCTCGACCGTTTGATACTTGTGGCAAATAAATAGGTGAGTCGATGAAAGAACTTTTGATATTATGATTTGAACGTGTACATCAACAATTGTAACAGTTAATAATTATTAAAAATCGAACTAATTAACGTCCGACGCAAATAATCGTCTCTTGTGCACTAATCTGCACATTTTACTCAATGACACATTTAGTTTGGAAAACAGAAATAGTAGATAAGGTGTCTAAAAATATACACGGGTTCACTTCGTGTGTGATTATATCATTGCTCGGAAATATTCGTCACGAATATATGAATGTTCTGACAATTTGCTTTGGATCATAAAAATGAAGTATATAAATCTTATTGCTGTAGTTGCTGCAGTAACGCATGCATGGGCTTCTTTAAATATTACAACATCTTCGATTTAACCGTGTCAAATTGCCGTGTCATCTTTTCGAAAAAATGAAGAAGAAAGTAACATATCTCCCAACGAAAAACCATTAACTATCTAAGGAATGTTTATTTTTACTCCTGGATAATGGTATTTTCAACGACATGACCAACACAGTATTATCTGACAAATATGGCATTATCATCTAGAATTATAATAACGTCTTCACGTGTAATACGTGTACAATACTATTTAGCAGTTCGAGATTCGCTACGTCGTCGGCTACTTAATGACCAAACTACGAATATCGATTTATTTCGAAATTTAAATGGAATACACTTTATAGATTCACCCATGCAAGTGGCGTCGGTAACAAGGATTGTATGTACGATTTTTTAAAAATCGATCACACGCGAGCAATTGCTGGACGTTCTGTGTATTACTAGAAACATAATGATAACAGGTCAATGAAATTTATAATAAAATCACAACGAATTGACGCGTAACAAACGACAGTGACCGTGTCGGGTGTACGCGAATGTCACGGTCTGATGAGTGCTCGATAATCGCAGGAGAGCGAATATCCACCACGATTTGTGTGAAGGCACCTGTAACATGAAGTATAAACACTCGCCTCTCAATGCGCTTGTATATAGATTGTTGTTGTATCTCTACTATCCTGCGACAAAGCAGCTCCTCCGGAGAATTCTACTTTGTCCTCTCCTTATCATTACCGGCGCCAATCGCTGATTTATAATATATATATATATATGTATATATTTTTTTTTTATAATATATGTAATAAAAAATGTAAATAACGCCTCGCGTTTCGCGATTACTTTCAACGGAGAATATTTAACAAATAGTGCTCTTTTTGAAATTTGGAAGCTCCTTTGGAGTGGATTTAATCGGTCTAGAATCCGTAATCTTCTTTGATATTATTCTAGCAGTCCGTTCCACGGTCACTGGACAGGTTGTTTTCATAACTTGTTTCGAAAGTTATCGAGTTCATTGAGTCTATTAGTAAATTCTTCCACCCGAGGAAGCTAAACACATCTTGCCCAATAGTCGCGCATCTATCATTGCCTAATAAAATAATTTCACATCTCTGTTTGGCCTTTGTACTCTAGATTTTTGTTTCTCATCGATCCGAAGAAAATTCATTCCTTTTTTTCTCTCTTTTTCTTTCGACATTCACTATATATATTATATTATATATACGATTACGTATTCGAACCATATTGCAAATAACATTGAACCAATTTTCAGGTAGGCGAGCATCAACTTCTCGTTCACTTTGATCCTCGATCGAACTCGATCGAGAATGCAATCGATAAAAGCTTGAAACTTAACGATCACTCGTAATCTGTTCACCGACAAAATTGATTCGAAGCTATCTCACGTGTCGTTCGAACAAGAAGCGATTGCTGGATGATTCCATCGATGACCAACGAAAGCCGGCATCGATCGAATATTCGACCTTACACGGTCGTAGTCGCGTAGACGGAAGTAGACACGGCGCCATTCGCGGTGGATGCCGTATCCTCCTTTTGTCAGCAATGCGTCGTCACTGCCGAGCTCTGACGAAGCAGCGCCGAAGAGATTTCGTTACTCTCCAACCACCTGGCGACTTCCGGTGGCATCTGCGGTCGAACGTGAGGTACCTGTAAGGTGCACGATAATTAATTTATATAAAACGATTCGCGTAAATCACTTAGATTAATATAGCCGTATTCATATCCTTGCAGAGATTTTGGCAAGAATGAAAATTACCTGAGTAACACCCGCTTCCACGTTACCATTTTGCTTGACGCCTCGTTCCATGAGGGAACCGATCACAGCCTCGGCGCTACAGTCCAAAAGCCTTTGTCTGCACATCGCAATGGCCCTGACGAATCCGTCGTTAGGCGTGATGAACCGATGCTCCATGAATACGGATTTCTCATCCCAATATATTATCTACAAGGACATATTCCAGGAAGATACTGAATGATTAAGCAGGCGAAGTTACTTTTAACGACCTTACGAGAGCAACGCACATCTCCTTTATAATGGAAAAGCGTAACTTTAATTCGATATTCCACTTGCACCGTAATAAAAGTGATAGCGGGAATACATTTTCGAGACGATGCGTCATATGATCATCGGAGTGCATACGAAATTACTGCAGTCGCGAATGCCTTCGAACAAGCTTCGGCTCATTAAAATTAGCACCGTGAGTTGCACGACTTCTACGAATTGCAGAGAGCCAACAAGTTCGTTTTCTTTTCACGTTATCGGCTAGTTCCTAGAAGTTATCGGGAACAAACGTTGGTAACCGACCGGATACCGGAAATCTCTTTGTCGAAGAATCGTACAAAGTTTCTAAGGATTCTCAAGACGATCGAGATAGAGAACAACGGGCGTAACTCTGTAATACGATTTCGTGTGATCGAACTCGCGCATACCTTGGAAGTTATTTTAAAGACGGACAGCGGTTTGAGAAACCGGCGATAACGAATGGTCGCCGCTCCCTGCACGACACCGGATCCTTGAGAGCAGATTTCACGATAGAGGCTCGTCCTCTCATAAAAATCCGCCCTGGCGAAGTCCAGCTCGCGGAGATATCTCGCATTGTTCATGTGATAGAGCAGCGTGTCCACATCCGTAGTGATGCAGATACCTGTGAAAAACAAACATTAGTACAACCGTGAGTGTATATAGAATTAGATAAACGACGTAAGCGCCGTTTACGCATTCATTTATCATGTATATTTCAAGGATAAAGAAAAAAAGATGATAAATTTATTAGAAGAGCAGAATTGTCGAAGAACATATTGAGATCATTATTTCAACAATTGCATCAAACGTTATAATTCTCGATTGTAAACAAGAGAATTAAAAATGCATTTCATTTAATTATTCCTCCTTTGATAATAAATATACGATAGACGATTCAAATCAAAAATCATATGATGGAGATATTAACATCGTTAACAAATTTTGAAGAACTAACAAGTTCAAAGAAGCGGAATCGTATTTATGTAAATGTGAAACAGAGAAAGATAGATAGAAGAGATATGTTTCCTGATTCGTTGCAAGAATAAAAATCTATTTTTTGCCACATATCGGCATGTTAATTCGAGAATTTAAATATTCCTTATTGATCTTGCATATCGTGTAAGCCATAACGGAACGTTCTTTTTGCAGATAATCCGGATGGTGTGAAAATCCAGACTACCGTGCAGGATGAGAACGCTGCTAACAACAAGAGGCGCACACGACGATTTCAAATTATGCTGCAAAGATTTCCGTGGCTTATATGTCGATTTGTTGGTCCAGTTTCGGTAGAATTTTGCAGCAGCGTGCTGGACAATCAATACTCGTACGGATTTGCGACACGAGCAACCGACAGGCCAACTGATCGCGCATGGTAGGTCAAGGTTTACCGGAATGAGCGCAAGATAAGTCAGTAAATTGTAAGGATTCTGGAGTTACGTAGCGATAGTGGTGCATAAAATGCATTTTCATGGACTCTCTATGTTCTTGGTTACGTGCTGTCGATAATACTAGCTTAAACAGTAGCAATATCGCAGACAGATTCAATGCCACATCACATTAATTAATATTATTTCTCTTCAGGGTTAAGCGATCAACGTACCGTAGACGGTAGTCTCGTCGAGGATGTGTACCCTTTTTTTGCAGAAACGTGCAAGAAACACGGTTAAGAACATACGTAGGAAATAGTGAACTTCTATTAGGCTGTAGAGCAGCACGATAGCCCCAAATACACCAGTCAATATCCAGCAGGTTATCATCCTGATTAAACTGGCTATTCGCACGTCCTCGAATTGAACCAGAAGTACGGTGCCCGCGTGGTCAGGTTTTGGAATTCCTCCACCGTTGGAAAGCCACGTTCCACCTTATCGATTCGTCGACGGTACTGACTGTGTTTCCTGGCTCGTTTCTCGCCGATAGGAAACCGAGTTGCTCCATTAACATGTCAAAGGATCGTGGATAGACCGACGCACCATGACGATCAATTTTATTTTAAAATACGTCGGGACATGTTGGACGATCGTTGAACGCATCAGCAGACAATGCAGCCTACGTCCGGCGTTCTTTTATACACGGAGCACTTTGGATCTGAAATGTCAGAAGCAGCACCATTTAAAACGCTCAGGGCAAAAACTATTGAAAGTCATATTTTCACAGACTATCTACGCTTTTCATTATCATAATCGTATGTATCGGAAAATTCCATTCGAGTTGCGCGATGCTTTTAACGTCATGAAGCAAACGCTCGATAGCGAGAAACAAGAGCAAGACAACAATTAACGTTAGATGGTATCTCTCCCAATAATGATCACTCTCTCGTGGAAGAATTCAGAATTTACGCGAGGCATTTTGAAATCCAACGAAACGATTCAAAAAATATCTTACACTCACTACTTAATAGCATGAATATCGAGTATATTCGGTATAATCGCGCGGTACATTTCTGCCAAATTGGCAGAGGGATCGTTGACGAATAAGCGGCACATTAAAAATAGGTATCCGATGAATCGCGCGCGTCTTGCAACGTTGCTGATCGTTCACCGATGAACAAACGAAATGATGACGAATCGCGAGCAAGTAATTGCGACGCTGTGCAGTAGCAGCCACTGATGTAACACTTAAAAGTAGAATTTCTGGCAGAAAGAATATACCGTGGAAACAATTCAAAATTCCCAGCGAAAGCTACTTTCGATACTTTCCCTCTCAGGAGGTTGTCTCTGCGATTGTCATTCGAAGCACGCTCCCCTTGGCCGAGTTCTTCCAAAAAATCGTTCCGAAACTTGGGTCTTCCCAACGAGACTCACGACGCGTTACTGTCGCATTGCTTCGAAACTCGGAGATGTTTTCCCCGTGGATGACAAATAGTTTTCCTCTATCACGAGATTCTTATCGCTCGGATCGGTATTCAAGCGCTCGTTAGAACGTATCGATGCTCCCACCTACCTAGCGGCAGTCTGTCAGGCAGAATTGCAGAGGACTTGCGACAGTTGTCCTGTGCTGACTATTCACGACGATATGAATCCACACATGCTTGTCTATTTATACACGCTCGCGCATGGAAAACACGTACACGGCTACAGGATTAAGAAGTATGCGTCCGTGGCGACGACATTTCACAAACTGCTGATCAACGCGTTCCCGGGTTCGATGTCGTGGTCAGCGTCACAGGAACGTCCCTTTCCAGAAGTCGCATCTGCGCCGAGAACTTCCAACCATGAAGCCGATACCTAGTGGGAGGCGAAACCTTGCTGCGCGTTGACGTTCTCGGCGCGTCTTTTTTAATGGAAAACCGAACTACAATCGTGGGCTGTGTTCACGCCGGCTTCGCTACTTTTTCTGTCTTTTGCCATGCAACAGCCGAAAACGCAAACCGGTTTGTTGAAACGTCTTCTTTCTTTCTTTTTTCTAAATTAAGTCAAATGGCTGGGCGTTGGAATCCTCGATTTCAAAGACGATGGGAAATTGAATGAATTTTGGACTGTGCCAATGTATAGTATCCTTGAACTCGGAGAATTCAACTGTTTGCTGATTTAGAGACGAGCATTGTGTTCAACGATATTACATTATCCTTCAGAACTGCAGATTCTGGAATAATGAAGTTCCTTCTCTTTGTTATTTTGAATTTCAAACACGTTTGAAAACACGGTTACTGCAATGGCACAAAACGAATAAAATATCAGTATTGACTTGTCATTAAAATTTTAAATAATACAAAGTCGAATGTAAACAAAACTGTGAACGTAAACAAAACGTAAACAAAAAATTTATGCCAATGTATTGAAACCAGTTGGTGAGAACGATAGAGACAACGATAAAAAGAAGAAATACTAGAAATCATAAATCTTCTTTTTGAAACATTATACATTTAAATGTTTTCTTAACAAAAATTATCATTTGTAAATTGAATTTTAAATCTTTGAAAGGAAAATGTTTTTTGCTATACTTCTTTTTAGTAAATTCTTTTTTTTTTTCACTTAGTTTCACAAGGAGCTCATTTGGCCACCTTGTGTGACTTCACCTTACGAAACCAACGTATGGTATGTGTAATTGATATGGGGGAGAAGAGCAAGCAAAGCTTGGTCAAACGTTGTTTGAAGGCGGGGCATGCACAAGCAATACGATGTTACGTCGAAAAGGCTCTGGTCAGGAAATGCTTTCCTGCTGATGTTTTATGGAAAACGCGTGATCCGCGAATGAGCAACCACGAAATCGGCACGGATCACGAGCAAATTAATAAATAAGTCACGTACGACGTGGGAATTTTAGACGTCGTAAAATTTCTATTAGCTTGGTGGAAGTCTCACTATTACGTTCTAAATTGTGTTCGCAAAGACAAATCGAAAAGCAATTCGAAGAGCGAACAACGTGTAGTTCTTTTTTTTTAAATATAAATTTAATATATACAATTTAATGTATAGAAGCAATTGATAATTTGTTTATTTTGTTAAAAAAATAAAAAGATTTATTTGGTATTCTATTTTGCAAAAAATATAGAAAAAAAATGAAAAGCTACCATCACAATAGAATATTCGTCGATGTTCAGCTGTTGCTTCCTACAAAGAAAAAAAGTCTGTAGCAAATGGTTGATCTTCACTTGTATACCGAGTTAACGGCAGATCGTAGGGAATAGGGAAAACTGGAACACCATCTTCTTCTTCTTTAATAGGAAATGTGGTCGAACCAATCTGTAAAAAGATAATGTACACTTTAAACGTTTTTGTTTATAAAGGATATATAAACAATATGTACTTTTACGTACAACGAAATGTGGAATAAACACAACGCCTGCTTCGTAATTCATAATATAAAAACTCTTTCCGTCCATTCCCCATGCAGCTTTGCTTAAATTAGCACTGGTAAGTACGAACCAAGGAATTCTTTTGTAATCGGGCGAAATTCTCGTGTAACTTTTTATATGAGGTACTGCTTTATCTCTAGCGGTTCGTGTGGCCTTCCATTGGCTAAACAAATTTTACCACACACACACACACGCACACACACATATATACATATATATATATATACACATGTACAAAATGTTAATAAAAATTAAGAACTTACCACATAAAAGACGTTATCCATTCTTGTTTAGAATGTAATTGAAAACTGTAATTTAAACAAGATGATCCAACTCGATGATCAAAACTACGTTTATAATTTTCCAAAGATGGATAAATGAATTGAAAGTTTGGAAGACTTTTCAAACCAACAGGATTTTCCTTTGACATTGAGGATGTTATATCTTTCAGTAACCAACTTTCATAGTTGGGTCCTAAGCTACCAATACTTGAACTTTGAGCAACTAACGTCCACTGTGGTGCATCAGGAGGCAACTTAGCATATTTCGAAAGAATGCAACCTAGTTTTCTATGTCCCCAAAAGTCATATTCAACACCTGTGTGTCTTCCAGGGACGGACGCCAAAAAGAATACATTTACTGAGGAAAAATCTGCTCTTCGTACAAGGGAAATCCATTCCGTTAAAGCTGGCACTTTATATTTGTTTAAATAACGTTCTAAATCCTTCTTGAAGCCTGTTGGTGATTCTCCGTCGCCAGGGTTTGCAGATTCTGGCAATGGTGGGAGATGTGGTGAAATCCAAACTCTGATTAACAAAATTAAAGTAATCGTTTATCCATGACTATCTTCCCTTTAAAACAAGCATAAAATGATTTCTAAAATTATTTGACAGACCCTTGTGTTCTATTCTCCCAATCATCCGAGTATAAATTTGCAGTGAATACCACCACCCGTATTCCATTATTTTTGTACTTGAGAATCATAGCTTTAGTATGATGACAACCAAACTTTGTTGGCATGAATATAGGTACTATAGTAATATTCAAACTTAATTTTTCTCCGTCCACTCTATCTCCAAATAAAATTAACATATCTGTACGTTGTCCAGCCAATAAATACTGAAGGCATAGCCATCCGACGTCAATTACAAAATTAATATGCAAGCTTTTCTCAATTTCTCCTAAACTAATGTCCAAGATTTCAGGGAACGTTATGGAAGTTGGTTGATTATATGTTTCTTTTGATTTTTCAACTCTTGTAAAAAATAAATGATATGGTGCTGATAGAGCATATTTCAAACTAAAATTGCCTGGTTCGACCACTGACACTTCAAATCCTTGATTTTGCATCATTTGAATCGCCTTATCTCTTGCTTCTTTCCTAGAGTTTGCAGTACTGCATGATTCATAAGAATCTATCAAAGATGTGCCTTTTGAAAAACTTGAACTTTCTCCACGTTCTGAACTTTTATTTGTACCTTGAGTACAATCTTCAACTTTCTCGTGTATGCTATCACTTAATTTTGATCTTTTGTGTTTTTTTTCATCATTAGCAAAATCATTACTATCTCTCTTTTCCTTAAAATTATCTAATTCTTCTTTATTAGAAACTTTATTCTGATCTACATCACTTTTTTCATTACAAGACTTGAAAAGTGCCTCTGCTACTTCATCCATAACTTTCAACTTATCTTCTCTTCTTTGAGCCATTATTTGTTTATGTTTTTCCACTTTATCTTTCAATATTTTGGAAGTAGACTTATCTTCACTCGTGACTTCTGAATTCACATTATTTAGTCTGGAATTTAACACTTTGATTGAACTAGCTTCTTTATCTCTTTCTTTTCTAAATAACATCTGTAAGATCTTCAATTGGTCTCTTAAAAGAGATTCATCGGAACAGACAAAATCAAGTTCCTCAGGTATTTGTATTTCACCTTCTAATTGATTTATTACAATTTTCTCCACTGAAAGAAAACATATGTTTTATTGGTCCTTTATCACAGTTGAATGATCATCGAATGCAATTAATAATAATATAATACTTACAGTGTGGATGTGACATTTCGTTGAAATGAATTGGATTTTTTCGATAACACTTTTCCATGTAAGGACATTGTTTCTTGACTGAAACTTGCATAAAACAACGGAACTTCTTAAACTGTTTAAAATTAAACCTTAACCTTAAAATCAATTAGCATTTGCTTACCATTGTTCACGGAAGTTGTTGCCATTTTGTGTTATTTAATTTGTAGCCAAGGTGGTACTAAGGACTTATTCTTGGTAATTACATAAGACAATTATACGCAAAACTATTAAAATTTATTTCGAATTCGACAAACAGCGGTTTCAATCTTCAGATGGAGAGCAGATGGCGCTGTAATCGACATATCGCAAGTCAAGTTCAAATCGAAATTAGTCTCGATCTAAACTTCTTAACGGTCGCGTGTCTTGAAATGTGTGTTTTCCAAAAGAATGTGAAAATTAATATAATATCATCGTTTACATTATCGTTTACATTACATTCACTGGTTTGTGTCAAACTGAAGTATTGCGCATATCCAGTATCATTCATATATATTTGCATTGTAAGATAATAATGTGATGTAATGAATTTCAGCAAGTCCCAAATTCATTAATCAAAAAAATGGAGGAAACACATTTGAAACGATCACCGATTGGCGATATTTCACACAATCAACTTTCAATTAACTCCGAGAAGATTGTCAAATATCATCGATGGAGAGATAGAAAACGACAAAGGTAATTAAGACATTCATTTAAGTTGGATATATTATCAGATATTAATAGCGTCAGTATGAAGTAATAAAGAGGACTCTCATTAGAAAACGATTTCCATCAATGACACTAATAATTTTCAAGCGCCATATTGAGAAACAGTACAACTCAAATACGATACGAGTGATTAGAAAGCGTATATAAAAACGATCGAAGGAGAACGAGTGGTGAAAGAGAACGTTCCCCAGTTGACGGGGAAACGATTAAGAGGGTCTCGACGCGTAACAGCGCATCCTTAACCGATCCGACGTCGAGCACCGAAGTTAAGTTTCAACGAGGAACTTACCGACCGCGTCTCAGTGCACTCAACGCTCGGCGAGCGCCTCTTGGGAATGAATTGCCACGACGTATTTCCATTTTTCCAAGAACAATTAGTAAGCCGTGGAAAGAATTGGGATAGCGGTCTTAAAAATCGGCCCGCTTAATATGCATGCGCATAATTTACCAGCCCGCTACCGGTATTGGATTGATTAAATTAAAATCGCTGCCAGGGATTGAACGCTTTCAACCGACGTTCTCTGGGCAAAGAAGGCTTGTCTTGAAACATTATTAAACAAAAACACGCGAGTCAGAAAGCGTCGACAATTTGCATCATTTGATTAAAAAACGGGGTAGAGGAAACGCAAACTTTATCGAAGGAAGTTGTCCTTCTTCAACGAGTGTTGAGATTCATTTCTTTCTTCTACGTTATATCTCGTTAAAATTTCTTTGAACGAATTAACTTTCGAGTTTAACTTTTAAATGTTTCTGCTTGTATCTTTTACTCAAGATACTGTATTACTTAGATACTGTATTCAAGATAGTTTGATATAAAGTGCATGGAATACGATTTGATAGTGTAGACAGTGTAGATTATCGTAGAAGCTGTTGAGACTTAAAAAATTAGTTGTATACTTTATCCAAGTAAGTAAGTAGCTTCGTTCGGAATAACCTACAAATTTTCAACGAGACAACGTTCACGGCGATAAATCCAATAAACGAAACAGAAAACGTTTCCGGCGCCAAAATACAGGCTATTCATAATTCACTTGGAGAAAGCGAGCAGGCAGTTGAGCGTAATTAACAGCTTGCTTCTTCAGTCGGAATTGTTTCTGAGAACGTTTGCTCCTTGCTTGATTATGACTCGATCGAGTGAAGAGTAAGTAATTGGAAGGCGCTTCGTCGCCGAGAAGTCAACACTCACGTCGAATCGATTCCTCTTCGAACATTCTATATTCGTATATACGGTATACTATTTGCAGCCAATACTTGCGTACGAATTTCACAACTTTTGCAGAATGGATCCTCCTGAATATTTCACGAAATTTTATTCTGAGCACGGCTCGTTCTTCTTTTTAAAAAAGTAAGACGCAAATGTAATTAACGAATCAACGAACAAGGAAGATAGCGCGAAATTTTATGTCCGAAACTTATTCGCGATTCGCACGGCAACAAACTATAGTTTTTCCGCGATACTTAAACCTTGAACTACCGCATCCATATCGTCACAATCTCGTTACAAATCGTTTAAGTTTAGACGTTACTGGGTTAGGTTTCACGTTTGACAACATTGAGCTGTTTGAGCTACTTTGTAGGAGTTAATAACTAGTGAAAAATATCGACGTGTATGTGAATAATTACACGGTGGCAGTTACAAGTCTTATCGCGGTCGTTTGTTTCCCGCGTGCATCTATTTGTTGTTCATTTCGTTTAGAGTAAACGTTAACAGACAAGAGGTCATCACCTTTGAAACAGCCATGAAACACGAATGGAGAGACGAATGATTCTCGCGACAAGTGCGTCGAACGTGTCGCGATACCGGTAAAAAAAAACAATAGAGAGCTGCGTCGAATGTCAGGAGGCAAAGCTAGAGGCGAACAACGGAGCGACCGAAAAGTGGTATCCGTCAGGCTTGCAGGATGCGAATAGAGGGGTGGGAGAGATGCCGAGCGTCGAGACGCCTCGGTCCGCTCAGTCACCGCCCAGACCGCGCCGCGAGCGATGCATCCGTCGCGACTTCCGCGTGTTCACGCCGGATCTCGTGTCAGTGACTTTCGTTCTCTTTAATTGTCCCTTTAATTCATCGGCCATTCTCTCTCTCTCTCTCTCTCTCTCTCTCTCTCTCTCTCTCTGGATGCATCTTAACTCTTGGTGTTTGATACAGTAAGTTTCATCCACATGCCCGCGTTTTCCCATCGATTTTCATTCAAAGATTATTCCGGCGACCGGTGGCCGCAGTTAGGACCGCGTTGATCCCGGTACGTCGCGTGACCGTGTGATCCATCCGCGTCGAACAGTGGTTCCGTTGCATCGATCACGTGAACTGCAGTGTAAGTTGAGAAGTGGTGCCGTGGTGGAGTCGGCTGGAACACATCCCGTGGGAAGCGGTTTCCTCTGGAGGCACTCAGAAAACAATCAAGATCCATCGCTGCCCGGAAATGCCAGAAAGTCAAGGTCGCTTTATTTACTATCACGTTACCTACATGCGTGATTTGTCAACCGAACGATCGGTCTCGCGTGAGCCAAACGGAAATCGCCTCGCGATAGTGCTGTTTGTTGTACGCTTGTTTACGCGCCCTTTCTACGTTGCGAAACTTCGTACGATCGAATATCGAACACGTACTTGCACATTGCGTGTATTAATGCTTTGTATATCGGATCGACAGATCATTCTTGTTTATTTCGTAAAATTCGAGAAACGACGAGGTGCTTTAGTACTTTAATAGTACATACGAGGGCATCGTTGGGAACACGAGAAACTGAATTTCACGGCACAGCGAAACTCGGCACGACGCGGAAATTTTAACGAAATTATAACATCCGGGATGTGAAAGACGCAAGCGAGATGAGAACGTTCCCTCTTAACCTCGGTATTTCTTGTCATTTTCGGTTCGTCCCAATATCACGACCCAGTTTTAAAAACGTGAAATGTGTCTCGTCTGGAATACGTAATTAATTGCTTTGAATTTAAAAAAAAAAAAAAGATCCTCGTCAAACTCGTGGCCAGGGTTTGTAGCGACAATGAAACTTTAAAATCCATTGTTGGTGCAACGCTACATATGTACGTATGTACGTTGCAATGAAAAGCGCGCGAGCTTTCGCAACGTATTTCGTAATTCCAAACTATTTCGCCTCAAGAACTCGCATCTGGTTGCTATTAAAATTCCCTGATTGACCAATCCTCAATCACGAGCGTAATTCTCAGACAAATGATCTCTATGAGAAATCATTTGAATTCCCTGTCGAACGAATACAAAGGTGTCTCAAGGTGATTATTTCGACACGTTTTCTTTCAATCTTTCAATAGTTTTCTCTGTTTTGGATCTATTCATCGTTAAATAGGAAAATTTGATACGAAATAATGACAAAATACAAAAAGATTTATCGCGTTCATCAAACTGTTAGACTAAAGGGGTTGACGAGCTAGAGTCATCGAAGATTGAATAACTTTAATTAATTTCGGACGGATAGGCGGTCGAGCCTTCGTGAAACTGTTCGGATCGCAGGAATTGCGTGGAAATTTATAGAGCGTGAAACGATTAATCACGGATATTGAAAGAACACAGTCCATGCATCGAAAAACGATTCGACGAAAGTTTCGTTGATCGAGTTGTACATTGAAGTCTATGTTGTATCGTTTATATGAAGATGCATCGAAACACGAGTGAAAGAAGATCGCCTGTATGTACGTGCGAGAATAAATCGTCGTTTTGAACAAAGTATCGTTCGAAGTGCTGAACGACATTCGAAACGTTAATATCAAGGATTTTCAACGGACTGAAAATATTTGTGTTACTGTACCCGAAAATTCCTTCTTCGTGATTGTACAATAATTTAGCTCGCGATCGACATTTACACGCGCGCCCAACTTTCGAACGTTATCGAATATCGAGACACCATTTAAGATAGATTATGCAGCTTTAGGCGATCATCTTGCAAACCGTTAACCACTCGGTAAATTACTATCTTAAACACTTTAATTCGGACACGAGGTATACGAGATCATTTATTTCACGATGAATTGTTTATTCTCTTCGCGGCTCATTTCGCGCGTGATATACGTTTCCGTGCATCTCTCTTTTTTTTTCACGCGTGATTTATTATTCTAGCGACGCTTCGAACAAAAACTCTGTTTTCTAGTTGTACACACTGTGGATTTATCGAACTGTTTGTTAGAATTGGTGTTCATTGAACGGGGCATGATGAAATTTATATTGACACGCGATTATTTCATGTTTAACGGACGAATTAACAGATCACGTAACGCTTACACAGGTTACAACAGAAGATTTCGACAGAATTTTGATTGACCGAGTGAGGAAATTTGTTTGAAATAGTATGTCGTGGGAAAAAAGAAGGTTGCTCGGAGGAAAGTCTGTAAAGTGAATCGTGAGACGCGAACCTTAGTTCGGAAATTCCAGCTTGAAAGCGGTTGTAAACGTCGGCGAGGGAAAAAGAGGCAGAGAAAGAGAACAAAACAGAAAGAACATTCGCGTCTTCATCGCCCCTAAGCGGATTGCTCGATGATTTCATGAATAATCGGCCGTAACGGCAACTAATTTTTCCGCCGTCTGCCGATAATTCCTCAGCCAGCTGAAGAATGCCGGCATTGAACCGGAGAAACGGCTGTAGATATTTCTCTAGTGAAGTGGCTCTTGTCCTTAACCACCGACACAACACAAACGTTCGTTCAACGTTTCTTTCGTTCGAGACTTGTATTTGAAATATTAATTAACGTCTAGTATTAGATGCCGGGAAGAAGTTTAAATGAAAATGGATGGGTATTGCGAAATTCGAGAAGATCGAAGAAGAAATTTCTATAGAATACTGTCAAAGAGATTGTGATATATGGAAAACGTCGTTTCCCTTGTTTCTCAGTCAGATAATTCTATTTTTTGTGCGAAATGAAACATTGAAAGTCGCGTTGGAAATACGACGAAAAAGTGGGGAAAGTAATTATTTATAGTAGCCACGCTGTATTTAATGGTATACATATATTCTTCCGTGCTGTGCTGTAAAAGGGTTAATATTTTAAAATCACGGCGAGAACTTGGCCCGCGTAAGTAACTCTTGCTCGGAGACTTTTATTGTTTCCTGCACGAGCGGTCTGTACGCGAGCGCCGTGTACGACGCGACGTGATCAATATTACGATCGACGTTGCGCTGATTGCAAAAATACTTGTTTACATAGTACTGCGAAGGGGAGTGTGAATTATTATCATAGATCATTGCGATTTTTCGAGGAATGCGAGAAGTAATAATAATAAATGCTGGTATTGCGCCATGTGGCAAATTGTTACGTAATCCACGCGGATTCATCGGTTCGCAATCCTACGAAATGGGGGAAGGGGGGGAGAACTTCGCCCAAATTCAATTATGAAGTCAGATATTTTCTTCGCCGATCTAAAGAAAAAAAAAAAAAAAGAAAAAGAAAAAAAGAAGAAAGCCGCGAGTAATTTGATCGTAAATCCTTAAATAACGTTCGATTGACGCGGATGATAATTCTCTCTCTCTCTCTCGAGTATCGATTCCGTTCGTTTCGTTAAAAAGCGAGATTCCCATTTTAGGTACGTAGGTTCGAACACCTCGGACCCGGTTACTGCTGGTTTTCGCGTGCAGTTCTCTCAATCGACCTGCACGATCTCGAGTTTAACCCGTAGTATTTCTCGTTCATTGTCTGATAAACTACCCTGAAGACGGCACGCCATGAATAAATTCATCTTGGTAATCACCGTCATTGTTCCATCCTAACCGGCGCAAACAAATCGAATGTGTCGTTGTTTCTCGGCACGTTTGAGTGGCGTAATTAATCACGCCGAATTTCGATGATTCCCTTTCCTTTCTTCAGACGCAGAGGTACTCTAAGAGCGTTTACGTAGATTCTCAACCATTCTTAACGAGCGTTCGAAATTCGAGTGGTGAAGGAAGAAATTATCATATATTTTCACGGGAAAAATCGAGGGGCGGGTTGAACGCGATAATAAATTTCTGGAAATGAAAATTTTCCAAAGGGGGCGCAAAAAGATCCGAAATTGACCTCTTGACTTCTTGGAATCGAAATAAGATGCACTTCGAATCCATCTTGTAGGAAAGTGGCCATTTGCATTTGTACCGTGCGAACACAGAACGAGCCGTGTTGTGTCACGATATCGTCGCCTCGACGCACGAGTATCGTCCTCTGGAAAAGAGTCGGAAATCTTTTTAGAAATAAGTGACTGTCGAGTCTATTTTCATCCTCTCCAAAAAAAAATTCTGTAAGCAAAATTTCTGGAAAAGAAATCGGAGAAGGTTAATAATTTCGTATCGATAACGAAGGATAACGTTTCCAACGTTAAATTTCCTCTTGGTTTTCCCGGTTTTAGATCGTTTGGAGGCATTACAACGTAAAGTGCAGACTTTTGACATTATGCCCGTGCGCACGCCTGCCGATTTATATATACAAACTTTAATCTCGAGGTATGCGTTTGCTCTGATCGAGCACGACATGTTTACACGAATTTATCCAGCCTTTCCCCCAGGACGTCTGGCCATGCTGCGTCCCTCTGTATCTCTGTCGGAGGAGTTACGTTCACGAAACTCGTATCCTTTGAGCTCAACGTTTTCTCTCACATAACCTTGGTTAATCGCGAATCTAACGAGCCATTGTTTCATCCTCTTGCTTTATCTCTCTTTCACATTAATCTCCATCTCTTGGAATAGAAATTTTCAGCTGCGGCATGTGTTTCAATTTTAATTTTAATGCCTACAACAAATCGCACGACCAGAATGGGAAAACACAGTGTTCAACTTTGCTTGAATTAATTAATTAGACATTAAACGTGATATATTTTGTACCGGTTTCGTGTCTTTCGGTGCTCGATTATTTGTGGCAATTTTGCCACGCGATATTCTTTTCTTTTTTTTCTTTTTTCGTTTGCGGAACGAGCACACGCAGCTCGTGCACAAAAGTGCTCGTTAAAGTACCAAGAAAGGCCGAGAAGGAACCCCAACCGTAACACCCTTTTTTCGCCTGCCATCGTCTTACCTTATCCCTTGAACTCTTATTATCCTATTCTCATTCTTCTTCATCGGTTGAATCGGGGTTATCGGAGCACTCAATTATTTGGGTCATCCGAGGCTACCGTTTCCCGCTGCCATCGAACCGAACCCCGGCTCCGCACCGAATATTTTGATAGCTATAAATAATGTTGCCGTGACAAAACAATGCACCGGGGCACGGGTTAACTGCGAAGAATCCCCGAATTAATTATCCCGCGGAGCAGCGGAATTTTAAACGTTCAAAGTAGCGTCGCGAATGGGTCCTCGCATTTTCGGCATTACTCGCGATTAACGGAAATTAAAAGATTCCCCTCTGATCGTAATACGTGGAACGGAATTCATCAGAGACTGTTCGGAAAATTCACGGGGGAATCGAAGAAGAATTCAACGTTTTATCGTTATACACAGGGTGATTC